AATAATTGTGTTCATATTATTTAATATCAGTTAATATTACGGTGAATAAAAAACTTCGTTTCATTTGGCGACCAGGCAGGATAGTGATTTCAAGTGATTTGACATTCATCATATGATATTGATTTGATTCAATTGAATTTGTTTTACATATCAGAGATCGAGAGTTTCTGCTAATCATTTGGTTTGTTATATTGTTTTAAAAAAAAATCGTTTTAAATTCAGAACTGATTATTCAACCTGATTAACGATTGGTAACTTGGTTCGTACATTGGACTGGTAAGTTTCTGTCTACTATTGTGATATAATGGAATACCCTAAGACAGCTTAAAGAGCAAGTCAGGGTGATGAAATATATCGCAATTTGAATATTAGAATAATTTTGTTATAACTGATAATATAAATATAATACCTTGAACAGCTTCAAAAGCAAGTTGGGGTAGAAAGTATTTATCAATATATTTTGTTCTGAGATCATTTGATATCAAAGGTGTTATGAACCAGAAGGTGATTTTTGAAATAATATAAATTGTAGAATTTGAATGATAGAGAAAAGAAAAAATGTCTATTCTTCAAAATAACCTTTCACTTGAGCAAAATCTGAATGTCTATCGACTGAGTGGTGACAATGGTCAAGATATATTCGAATGGTTTGAGAATTTCGAATTCGAAACAATGGCCGTTGGTTGGGATGACGATGTTCGATTACAACGATTTCCAATGTTTATAACTGGCACGATCAAACTTTGGTATTTATCTTATGTAAAAAATAAAAATGTTGTCAACTACAGTACCATGAAAGAGATGTTACTTGGTGATTTCGTAAACCCGAATTACGTTCAATTGTTGGAAAATAAACTGTACCAAGGAAGACAACAGGAAAATCAGTCAGTTTTGTCTTTTATATTGGAACAAATTAAACTTTTTAAACGAATTAATGTTCAAGTGGATGAGAGGAAGGTTATTAGGTTGATCGTCCGAGGAATCAAGCCTGAAATTTCTCAATATTTTGCCCAATTCGAAATTAATTCAGTACATGATCTTTTACAAAGAGCCCAGAGAGCTGAGGCTACTCTTCGACGAGCTAGTGATAATGTTTATCAAAGCTCAAGTAACTCCATCGATGGTCTGGTGATGGAGATCAATCAAATCGAAGCTAATATTGATAGATTAGCTTCTCAACTCAATTAATTAGTTTTATTGATCACTAGAAATTTGGTTAAAACGTAGGAGATGGTACCTTGTGGACTGGTTGTTGTGTCAACAGTCGCCTCCTCCTTATCCAACTCATTGCGCTATTGGTAGCAAGGGAGATGGTTCTTTTAAATTACGTGGCCGATGGATCCATGGGAATTTTACATACCTTGTTCTAGTTTTAATATAATTAATTATGTGATAATCAAGTTAATGGAGATCTTATTGCAATTTCTCATTCTAACTTGGATTAATGTTTATGAAAATTTTGAGAGAATTTGTTATTTGAATGATATGTTAATGTTACCATATTATATGTTATTTATTGTTATTAATTGTATTAGCTGTTTTCTGCTTCTAACAGTAATCAAAAGATGACTTCTGAGGTGTTGAAGGATAAAAATGATAACTTCGTAAAGGTGGTAGGGATTGCCATCGATCAAATATTAACGCTGAAGAAAACATTGAAACGACCTGCTCCAAAATCAGTCAAGGAAAAGATTGAAGGTAAAATCAAAGGTAACCAGTTACTCATGAAATATGCTTATTTTCGTTGTTCGGGAATTGAAGACGAAATCAACGGTAAATTTGATCAACAAGCGAAAATTTTGGAAAAAGCTCGTGCATGTTTGTTAGAATTTGCTGCTTTGTTTAATGTTAATAAATTTGATGTACCTGAAGATGTTCTTCAGTTTATAATTTCTGAACATAATCAAGTTTATTGTAACTCTGAATATGTAAAGATTAATATAAAGTATGAATGATATTGTATTGGTGTTTTTATCGCATTCGATGTGCTTACTTAATGCAAAAACTGTGCTTATTGATTTATCGATTATTGTTACGAAAGAGAGACCTTTCGTCTGGAGGACGGGGGTGATGTAGCAAAATTATTGATTATTAGTTAACATTTGTTTTGTCTATGGTGTTACCATGATGATGACCATGAATATTATCATGATATCATATCGATTATTTAATTGTTAGAATGTTCTAGAAGGTGATCATGATCATGATGTACTGATCATGATCACCTTCGGTATTATTGTAATACATTGTATTGATACATTGTATCCATTTTCAGTCCCACTTCCCTCTTCCCTTAGTCAACATCTAACCTTGTTATGTTGTAACATTAAAGTGTTTTATAATAATTGTGTTCATATTATTTAATATCAGTTAATATTACGGTGAATAAAGAAACTTCGTTTCATTTGGCGACCCAGGCAGGATAGTGATTTCAAGTGATTTGACATTCATCATATGATATTGATTTGATTCAATTGAATTTGTTTTACATATCAGAGATCGAGAGTTTCTGCTAATCATTTGGTTTGTTATATTGTTTTAAAAAAAAATCGTTTTAAATTCAGAACTGATTATTCAACCTGATTAACGATTGGTAACTTGGTTCGTACATTGGACTGGTAAGTTTCTGTGTCTACTATTGTGATATAATGGAATACCCTAAGACAGCTTAAAGAGCAAGTCAGGGTGATGAAATATATCGCAATTTGAATATTAGAATAATTTTGTTATAACTGATAATATAAATATAATACCTTGAACAGCTTCAAAAGCAAGTTGGGGTAGAAAGTATTTATCAATATATTTTGTTCTGAGATCATTTGATATCAAAGGTGTTATGAACCAGAAGGTGATTTTTGAAATAATATAAATTGTAGAATTTGAATGATAGAGAAAAGAAAAAATGTCTATTCTTCAAAATAACCTTTCACTTGAGCAAAATCTGAATGTCTATCGACTGAGTGGTGACAATGGTCAAGATATATTCGAATGGTTTGAGAATTTCGAATTCGAAACAATGGCCGTTGGTTGGGATGACGATGTTCGATTACAACGATTTCCAATGTTTATAACTGGCACGATCAAACTTTGGTATTTATCTTATGTAAAAAATAAAAATGTTGTCAACTACAGTACCATGAAAGAGATGTTACTTGGTGATTTCGTAAACCCGAATTACGTTCAGTTGTTGGAAAATAAACTGTACCAAGGAAGACAACAGGAAAATCAGTCAGTTTTGTCTTTTATATTGGAACAAATTAAACTTTTTAAACGAATTAATGTTCAAGTGGATGAGAGGAAGGTTATTAGGTTGATCGTCCGAGGAATCAAGCCTGAAATTTCTCAATATTTTGCCCAATTCGAAATTAATTCAGTACATGATCTTTTACAAAGAGCCCAGAGAGCTGAGGCTACTTCGACGAGCTAGTGATAATGTTTATCAAAGCTCAAGTAACTCCATCGATGGTCTGGTGATGGAGATCAATCAAATCGAAGCTAATATTGATAGATTAGCTTCTCAACTCAATTAATTAGTTTTATTGATCACTAGAAATTTGGTTAAAACGTAGGAGATGGTACCTTGTGGACTGGTTGTTGTGTCAACAGTCGCCTCCTCCTTATCCAACTCATTGCGCTATTGGTAGCAAGGGAGATGGTTCTTTTAAATTACGTGGCCGATGGATCCATGGGAATTTTACATACCTTGTTCTAGTTTTAATATAATTAATTATGTGATAATCAAGTTAATGGAGATCTTATTGCAATTTCTCATTCTAACTTGGATTAATGTTTATGAAAATTTTGAGAGAATTTGTTATTTGAATGATATGTTAATGTTACCATATTATATGTTATTTATTGTTATTAATTGTATTAGCTGTTTTCTGCTTCTAACAGTAATCAAAAGATGACTTCTGAGGTGTTGAAGGATAAAAATGATAACTTCGTAAAGGTGGTAGGATTGCCATCGATCAAATATTAACGCTGAAGAAAACATTGAAACGACCTGCTCCAAAATCAGTCAAGGAAAAGATTGAAGGTAAAATCAAAGGTAACCAGTTACTCATGAAATATGCTTATTTTCGTTGTTCGGGAATTGAAGACGAAATCAACGGTAAATTTGATCAACAAGCGAAAATTTTGGAAAAAGCTCGTGCATGTTTGTTAGAATTTTCTGCTTTGTTTAATGTTAATAAATTTGATGTACCTGAAGATGTTCTTCAGTTTATAATTTCTGAACATAATCAAGTTTATTGTAACTCTGAATATGTAAAGATTAATATAAAGTATGAATGATATTGTATTGGTGTTTTTATCGCATTCGATGTGCTTACTTAATGCAAAAACTGTGCTTATTGATTTATCGATTATTGTTACGAAAGAGAGACCTTTCGTCTGGAGGACGGGGGTGATGTAGCAAAATTATTGATTATTAGTTAACATTTGTTTTGTCTATGGTGTTACCATGATGATGACCATGAATATTATCATGATATCATATCGATTATTTAATTGTTAGAATGTTCTAGAAGGTGATCATGATGTACTGATCATGATCACCTTCGGTATTATTGTAATACATTGTATTGATACATTGTATCTATTTTCAGTCCCACTTCCCTCTTCCCTTAGTCAACATCTAACCTTGTTATGTTGTAACATTAAAGTGTTTTATAATAATTGTGTTCATATTATTTAATATCAGTTAATATTACGGTGAATAAAGAAACTTCGTTTCACCAATATGCTAGGGGATCTGCATCAAGCTCCAGGGTTGGGCTTGTTAAATAGTGTTTAAACCCGATGTTTAAGGTTCCAGTGTTATCATTCAATTGCTTCCGTCTTGCATCGTGTAAGGCCCATAGCTCTCCGTGGTCTTCTTGCAATTCATCAATTTGTGTCAAAGGTACATCACTCAACAGACTTCAGCGGTTGCTGACCACTATCCGATTGTTCTTTTGAAAATGCATCTGCAAATTTATTGCTCTGTTTAGAAAGAGTCACAATTGCACCCACGCTGTCCAAAAGTTTCTCCACCATGGAGTTTTTTTAATAGAATCGATTACAATGAGATTAATCCTGTGTGCGATGCACCATAACGGGTGAGATGTAATCAGTTTAGCAGCACTAACAATGTTTGTCGCTCCATCAGTTACCATTGTTACCAACTTTTCTTGGTCAATATTATATTCTTGCATGATATCCTTGACCGTTGTTGCAATATAATTTGCTGAGTGGGCTTCGGTCAAGGCGATGACTTTCAAACACAGACTTTTTGCACAATAAGAATCAATGTAGTGGCAAGTTAGGCCTAAATATGATCGGGAATTATAAGTATCTGTCCATACAACAAAGGTGAACAAGAGCCAATCGATGGTTTGCAAATGTGTAGAAACAAGATCTTTTTTCCTCTGATAAATTTGCATGGTTAAATTAGTAATTGTTTTCCGTGAGGGGACACTAACATGTTTACAGCAACTTTTTAATAGTTGGACAAATGCTGGTTCATCTACAACACTGAAGGGCTTTAACCCTTTTACGATGAACCAAACGATTGCATTGTCCACCTGAGTCTTTTTATCACCACCTGTAAGAATAGAAGAGGAACAAATTTAAACTTTGAAATTGAGTGACAATTGTAGAGACACTTACCTTTAAATGATGAAATTTCAGCAAAGAGAGCAAAGCAATTTCATTTCAGAATAAACATTTTGCAACCAGGAATCAATCTTCGATAAACATTCGCGTGAATAGATTTCAGAGTTAACAGCACCTTTGGTTACATGAAAATACGGCTTACATAAGCCTCGTTGACCAATAGCGATCCACATTGATAGTTTAGGCCCGAATTTAGATTTTTCCTTGAATCTTATATCACCTGGAACATTTTCAATAGATTGAAATGAATATCGATTGGCACCATAAAAATTAAAACCCTCAAGATCGAAATAAGATTCATCATCCATTATTATTTCTTTCGCGCCAATTAGTTTTCGTAACTTACGAACTCTGGTCTTTTGCCTTTGTCGTTGTTGTTGACTAACTTTTGGTCTCAATTGTCTTTTTTTAACTTCGATTCCTATTTTATTTTATACTTTTTGGCCGTACAATGATGTACATTAATTTTCCTTCCCACTGAAACTGAAACCAGGAAAAACTCGATTGTTGGTCATTCGTTCTATCTTTGCCAAATTAATATTATTAAACTTTGATTTACTCAATCCTGACCCTGGTTTTCGAATTTCGGTGATATTATTGATTAACTTGTTATAAATTCTATAACCAGTAGCTCTAGAGACACCAAATGGCATGAATTTTTTCACTAATTCACTTTTTGTTTCATGATCAGAACTTTTTCGAACAGTTTTGCACAAAATTTAAAGACTTCACTTTGTTTGATCTTCGACATTTTTGATTCTAATTGAATTTCTCATTTTTTTTCTAGGTGAGATTAATCCTAAATAGTTTATCTACAACATGATATTCATATGTTACTCAAAAGGGGTTTCTCAGTTTCTCAATTTAATAATAGTTAGACTGTGGACAGGGGCCAAATCTAGTAGAAGGGTCATTCCACTATTGACTTGAATTTAGATATGAAATCCACTCAGAAACTTTACTTTAAGAAATTTTTATCTCAAGTGATTCAATTTTCTCCTTGCCAATGGATTCATTTCGTTATTCCTGATCCAATGGTCAATGTTAATGAAGTGACAATTCATGTTCATCTAATGATGAATTAAAATTTAGGTAATTATGGATCATTTACTAATTGTTAGTCAAATTTTTGTTCAATCAACTATAACGTGATACCATCAACTAATACGACCTTTATATATTCAATTAATCAGTTTAGTAAACAATAGTTCATTGTGAAGTGATTAGTTACTTAAAAGATAAATCAGTTGGAGATAATTATATGCATAGATAAACTAATAATAATAATTATGAAAGAGTTGAAATGGTAATAATTAACTAGATTAAATTAGTTGCATGTTTAAATTAACTAATAGTCCCAAATAAACTTTTAATCTAAAAAACTTGTGTTCGATATAGATTAATGAACTGTCACAATTAATACAATTTATACCTTAATTTGATCATTGATTATCTATTAAGACAAATTTTAGTTACAATTACTGATAACCTACTGTCAACTCCCACTGGTCAATTTGAAACCAAAGGAAATAAATTTATTTATATCAACTGGTCAGTTAATTGTAACAATGTTACTTTAAACCAAAACATTATAAACAACAACAACATCAGGTATCAAATTATATATCAACATGATGTTGACGGTGAATGATATAAAATTAAATAATCAATGTCAATCTAATAAAGTTCATTATTAAAAGAAATAAGAAGAAGATGAGAAAATAAAACTGACCAATGTCCAGATTGATAAATATTATGATGGACATAAGATAATGATTCAATCAAAATGTTTCCTTAACTGTCAATAGGTAAAGGGAATATAATTCATGATAAATTAACTAAGAGTGGGTTGAAAATGAACATGGTGATTATCAGTTAGGAAGATGACCAAAGATGACCAAAGATGATGACCAAACAGAATCGCGCCTGCTATTAAACTCTCGTTGTCTTATTTAACTTTCTTATTCAAACCTGAGTTCAGCTTTGAACAATCAACAGTTTGATTTGCAATCAACTGATTAACCAATGTGATCTTACAAAATTCAGTTTCTCATTGATTAGTATTAACTTTACGGTGTTCAATTGATTGTCAACTATTATTGTTGATTGTTAATTTTCTGGTGTCATCAAGTTTGATTGCTCTCTCATTCCTGATTGATTAGTAGTATTATAATCACTTTAAATTTGATTGTTTCTCTGTTGAATTGAATTTCTCAAGTTTACAATTTAGTTAATCATGTGGACTTTAATTTGTGGCTATTTATTTTCAATGATTTGTATCATATCAAGTTTTTCAATTAAATCTACAACAGATAATTATGATAGTCAACTTAATCATAATCAATTAATGTTCAATCCAGTTAGATTGTTGATCCCTTCGGACGTTGATTATAATTTACTGGATCCCTTTGCAATTGATCAAAATTTGGTAAGTTAATTAACTCTAAATTTAATCAATATGTCAATATATTAATCAAATAGATCATCTTAAAATTAGATTAATAACTTTACAAGAATAATTAATAAATTATTCTTGATTATTTGGTAGTTAATTAGACTGAAAAAATTTTTTTCTCTGATTAATCAAACAACTATTACGATTATTAACATAATCAGTTGATTGGGTTAGTAATTAACAATTAGAGGTAAATAGTAATCATGAGTCGAATCAATCAGCTAATCAATTGTTATTATTTCAACAATTAATTTTATTCAGATTACTTAAGATAACGTAATTGCTTTTTTTTACCTAATAGTTAATTGTTGGTCATTGTCAATGTCAATATTAATTAACTCTTAATTACCTCACCAAATCGACCTTGATTAATACTATTCAATTAAGAATTGATTCAATTTTTTTTCCTCTAGAATCAGTTAATTGCTCTCATATGATTGTTAATTGTTTCCACTGATCCAATGTTACAATCCAGTTGAATTAAGTGTAAGGGAAATTTGATATTAATGATGTAAACTCTTGATTGAAATTGATCAATAAGCAACAATTAATATTTAATTATCTCCATTATATAATAACTAAGATGACCTAGTATTTTGTATGTAATCATCGAGATTAGAACTTTTTTTTGTTCAGAACTTTCGAGGAATCGAGAAAAATAAAAACTCAAGTTCGAAGTATTTTCTTATAGTATAAAAGTTCAATGAATTAATGTCATCACTAGTTAATGTATATCATCATTATCAAAGGTTAATTAAGTTGATGAAACTTCCTGTTTGAATGACAATCAGGAACCGGAAATATTGTTGACACTCATTGATGATTATGATTAATGATTTTGTTCAGAGCAAAAAGTTTATTCTGTTACTTGTAAACCAAATCAGATTGATCTTTACATGTTAATCGTAATGTCCAACAATCAGTTGATGATAATAATAACCAACATTATCGTTGATATGATTAACTTTAATCTATTGAATTCTCAGTTGATTTGATTAACATGTTGACAATCAGTTGATGGTTTGGATTAGTTTTGAATAACAACAATAATAGACATGATTACATGTTAATTTTAACTGATTTCTTCTTGATTATTGTCATCTTCTTATTTAATTGTCCGAAAAAAAGAGCCATCTCATTGGCTAGATTACGATTGATTGTTGATTTTATAATCAATTAATTTACTACCATTGTAATTTGAGGTGTAACAGTTAGCTGATTGTTATACAACTTGTAACCTGATTAAATAAGATCTGATTGGAAACCTCTTTTAAATTGACATCCAATACAAATAGTTGCCTAATCAACTTGATGATTACCAATTTATGATCACTATTTTGTCAATTGATTTGAATTATTTGACAATCAAGTTGTAAATTGTGATTAATGAGATTTATTTTGTTTGTTCAATTAACTAATGTCAACACTGATTGTTAAACAATCCTAGATGATGATTGTGATCATAAATAAATGTTGACAATTAGATTAAATTGTGTGAAAGTATGATATTAATCAACAACAATCAACAAACATAGATAATTAATTTTTCCCTTGATAATCTAATTTAAATTGTTGGAAATGGTTCTTAATTGTTTCGCTAATTTTTTGTTTTCCTTTTTCATCAGAATGCCCAATCAACTATCCAACAGAAGGACGATAATAATAATTACTATTTAAAAGGTGCAATGTTGAGGGATGCTAATGGCGAGGTGAAGGGTCAAGAGGTGGTGGATGGTCAGTCTCGAAATTATCAGCTGATCAATCATGTTAATTATGGTGGAATCACTAAGGAAGATGATGCAAGTTTATTAGGTGATTCTGAGATTGGGATTGGAAACGATCAGGGAACAATTAACACCGAATCGTCAATAGATCACAATCAAGACGTTCACTTATCAATCGGCAAAAAAAGGTCATCTGTGATGTTGAATAGTCTTGGATTCGCTTGGCCTAAGGCAAATAAAATGGACTCACCTCGACATTCATTAAGGTCAAGCGATGTTTCCAAAGGATTTGCCGATAAAAGTTCAGGGTCAAAGGACAATCTATTGGTGAAATGTTTTTTTAATGGAGTTTCTTGCTTCTAATTTATCACCATCTTCTAGTTTTCTTCATCATTTGCAACAACAACAACAAAACAAACAATTAAATCAAATTCCATCACAATTAACTCGATTTTGAATCAAAATCTTCTTCTTTCAAACTTTTAATTTCTTTTCGTTTCATTTGTGATTTACTATTTTCTTGAAGCTCTATTGTTATTTATCATCTTGCAAACAATTTAACCTATTAAACAATTAAAAATTAAATTGTCATCTCCATTAATAATCAGTGTATCAACAATTAAATCAATGAAATTGTAATAATAATAAAAAAACGTTTTCTTTTCGTCGGATATTTTACACAATGTTCATTTCTCAGAAAATCTCAATTTTAATCACAACAATTAACCTGCAAATATTATTAATAGAAATCGTAACTCAGTTACTTCAACAAGAATCCGAGTTAACAATAATCTAATTGTAATCAAACAATTAACGAAAACAAATGAGAATCAAAATTAATCGTTCATTTAGTTTACTTTATCACCGACAGATGGAGCCACTTAGAAGTCAACTTGATGGGAAAAAGTTGAAAATTTGTTAATTGTTACTAATTGTTTCCATTAGTTTTCCTCATTTTTTTTAATTAAAACAAGTGAGATCACCAATCTCTTCATGATTAATTGTTAAATCAAATGAAATCCACCTTCATAATAATGTTGATCTTTCAGCGAAACAAAATCTGTTGATTATTTGTTTTTCCAATTTTCTTGATTATGATAATATAATAACACCAACAATTAACCTTTTTGATTGTTCAGTAACTGGTATTGTTTATTTATTAAATTATAGTTAATTGTTGAATATTTCTCATGTTTAAAAGACTAAAAAAAAGTTAACCAAATTAGATGATGATTAAGTATAAGAGTTACAATAAATTTATATAAAACAAATGAATAGTAAATCTTGTATTCATTTTAATTGCAATTTAATGACAAATTATTCAACACAATCAATGTAGTATTAATTGTTGGTTTACTTTAATGGTTTTAATTAACACCATTTTTAAGGTAACATTTTCTGCTTCGTCAATTGTTAGTTAATCACCAACAATCAACTAAGCCAAAAGTGTTTACAATTAGCTTAATATTAACATAATCCTAAACATCGTGACAAATTAAAGTCAATAAATATAAGATTTTTGATAATCTGATGACTTGATTAGTTAACCAAATTGTCATCTTGATTGTTTTGCCTTTTTTTCACAATACAATTTACATGTTAATCAGTTGAAACAATCAAGTTATCGTTAAATAATCATCAGAAACACGTTCACAGTGGTAAATGATAATCAGTTAATTTGTGTCTCAATTTGTTGATTTGATTTTTCTGTCTTCATGTTGTAAACAGAAAAACAAATCAGCAACAATTAAACTTGCAAATATTGTAACAATTTTGTAATGTGTTTTTTTTCACAATAATAATTAACAGTATTTGTAATTAACTTCCTAGTTTATCAGTTAATTGTTCTGGTTTAAGAATTGATTGGATTCAAAGTATTGAAAACAAGAAACAACAACAAAAAATAATACAAAGTTTTTCCTGTTGGAAAATAATTTATGGACAAATTGTTGAGCAATTAATAAATTGTCTATGGCAAACAGTTGATAACTGTTATTGTTAACATGTAGTATAATTAACAAATCAGAATATGGGAAATATTAATTACAATAATTACAAGACCTTATATGATGAGAGTAATGTAATAGTTTGACCCGGATGTTAATAGATAATGATGAGAATTTTTGATTAAAACCATTGTGATTATAATAGAATAACTTAATCATCTGATTGTAATCGTAAAAGGCTTTTTAATTAACGGGTTCATGGTTAATTCGTCCTCTTTGTCTTCATTTGTTTCATCTAATTGGTTAAATTGTCCATTATCATTTCGATTATGCTTAGTTAATCTTGACCATTTATCTTTCCACTCATATTGGGCTGGTTCCCAAATCTTTCAATTGTACTGATGATGAAAATTGACCCACTCGGACAATTAGTATATTATTATGATTGTGACTTGAGAGCAAGAGAAAAGTGTTTATAAAACCAAGCGAGCCCAGCCCAACAATTAATTAACTGTTATCCACCATTATCACACCAATTATTGTAACAATAAAGACCAAATTAAAATGTAATATAAAATTCAGATCACAGATTCAGGAGAAACAAAGATGAGACGAAGATGAGAACTTTGAATGTGGTAATGATTTAAAGGGGATCGGTTTCTGATTTAGTGATGATTAGAAAAATAGAATTTTTTTTTTAAAAAAAAAAGATGAACACAACTTTGTCCCGGTATCACTGCGGTTGTTGAAAGATAAATTGTCATCTTAATTGTCATAATCAGGAACAATGGATGGAAGATGGAATAACAGTTATTCTATCATTGGTAAATGTTTCTTCACTTAATGAAGAGTCTCGGTAAAAATGTTCATCGTTGGCACAACCAGAGAAAACATTACATTCCTCTAGACTATTATCGGTATCATAAGTTTGTTTCTTATTCTTTTTCTTAATTCTTTTCTTATTCTTTTTCCTCTTGTTAGATTTGTCATCGTCATCACCATCGATTGATTCAGATTCGGATGATGAAGAATCAAGAAAATCAAGGCTAATATCAGGTTTGATTAATTTACGTCTTAATGATCCATAGGAACAGAATGAGTTAAGACTATCAGCAAGACTTTCAGGTTGATCACTTGGAGTTGATCTTTCAGAATTAATCATCATCTCACCATGAGAATCATTTAAAATCATTGTATCCCAAGGTAATGATGAATTTATTAGTGATGTTTTCACTTTTACAAATGATGATGATATTGATGAAGAAGATGATGATGGCGGTGATAAAGATAAACATTTGATAGGTGTCGGTGTCGGTGATTTTGATGATGAGACTATTTCACTTGTTGAAGTGACAATATTATTACTCCTGACAGGTACCAAGGGTAATCTTGTGGTCGTTGTTGTCGTTGTTGTTGTTGTTATAGTTGATGTGTTAATATTAATCGTTATTTTATCCATTAACAAGAGATAGATAACAATTAAAATTAATAGAAGGTCCAATTTATAAAGGCAAGTTAAACAAGTACATGAACAGTGTCCAGTAAGTTTGGATAAAATTGAAGATGATGATTGTCCATAAGAACCATGGTCCCAGTTGTTGTAATAATGGTAAACATAATCCATTTTGTTTTAATCCAAAATTCGTTAATCTCAATGAATGAAAGTAAATTGCATCAACAGGTAAGTAAGAAAATTAAATAAAAACACCGATAAAAAAGGTAGAAAAGAAAATATCACAAGGTAAGAATAAGAAAAAGTCAATGGTATGAGTAGACTTTAAATTGCATACCAAAAGTATAAAGTAACTTTTCAGTTGAACGATTGACAATTAATGAGAGAATCACAGATAATAGAATAAAAAATAGTAACAATTAGTTGATTGTTCTGGTGAAAGAAACATTGGTTTATCCACATAGGAAAAGATTAAGAGAAAGAGAAGAGAAGAAAATAATTCTCAATTCATGTTGAGAATAATGGAGAATGAGATTTTCCACCAAAAGGTAAGAAAACTTAACATTTTCGTAATTAATGATGAAGAAAAAGCAAAGAATAAGCAGAAAAACAGTTACACAATCTAATCAATTAACAAAAAGAAAAGAACTTAATTAGGAAGGTTAATTAGAAGACAATTAAAGAAGAAGAGAAGAAAACAGAGAAAATGAATAAGATGAAAGAGAAAATTAAAAATGGAGAATAAAAAATCTGTTCAAATGATTGGGTTTTCGCTTGACGATCAGAAGAGAAACAACAACAACATGAGAAGAGAAGATGAAAGACTGGTTCTCTTTTCTCTCTCTCTCTCTTTCTCTCTCATTCTTTTTAAATTTATCATCAGAACGAAAGAAGAAAAGAAAGAGAAGATGAAAGAAGACAGAAGATAAATGAAGATAGAAAGAGAAACTCGGTAACCTTGCGAGCTTAATTTCGTTCATTTTTCCTTATCTTTTTGTCTTAATCCATTTTCCCTCCAACCTTTTGCTCGCCCTTTTCTCATTAATCTCTTAATCTTTTCTCTTTGTGGTTTCTAATCAGTTACAATTAACTCTTTCCCTTAATCTACTAGTAAAAGTAACCATGGAAAAAGTGAAATTAATCCACCAACTGATTAATTTTCTTCTAAAACCAAAGGTAAGTGACCAAAGAGTTTTTTCTATAAACAGATTGTTCATCTTGTCGGTCATTAGATTGACTCTTTTTCTTTCATGAGGAAGCCATTTTTTTTTAATTCTCTTCTTTGTCACCTTGTTAGAAATATTCTTTTCTCCCTTTTTTTTGAATTTCAATTAATTCGTTTCAATTTTAGTGAACATTCCTGTTTACATGATATAATTTCTCTCTCTTTTTCTCTTTATGTCACTCACAAATTCAGTCTTTTTATGGCTCAGTTTCTTTTTCCTTATATCACATTTACGTTTGTGTTTACCCTGAGGGGTATTGGTAACTTTCTAATATTTTATATGTTTCTTTTTCTTATCTTTCTTTCTTCTCAGCCAATTCTTTAAGGATATCTTTTTATGTGTCTCTCTCACCTGAATTATTTCTGATATTCAATGGTTACAATTACCTTGTCTCTAAAAAGGTTAGTATGTTTGTGACTTGTGACTTATTTTGTTTTCCTTTCAAATGGAAACGATTTAATAATCAACCATTAAGAATCCATAAGTGTGAATATATTCATACGTATACCTTGAGATAATCAAACAATCAATTGATCACATTTACAATAATTAACCGATCTACTGAATATATATTTTCCTTATTGATGCTTTCACAGAACTAATAGATTGACACAATTCTCATCTTAATTCTTGTCTCTCTCATCTTATTTTGTCCAGAATTTTTTTTCTCCATCATCATCATTATGCAGAAAATAAATGACTACAGTAATTAACCATTTATATCTATCGTTTTGATTGGTTAATTTACTCTGGTTCGCAATCGTATATTGACTTGAACCTTGTACTTTCAATCGTTTCCAAGCTAAACTCTAATCTTAATCATCATTAATAACATTATTTTCTTTTCTCTTTCTTAGATCTTCAACAACCTGATCCCAAAGTATTACGAAGAAAACAAGACAATCATTTGGTTCATGAAAGAGACTAAATTTACTTGACAATTAATCAGCTATAAGTTTTTTTTTCTACTTCGACAAAGAAAAACATCCAATCGGATTTACTGTTAGCCTTGTTCTTAATCCACTTCATTACTATTACTGAAAGAGATAATGAGAATCAACTGGATTATCTATACAAACAACAGAAAATCATTAATCTGAGAGTAACATTGTCCGTCAAAATTGGGAAAACAAACACAATCAAAGTTGACACAATCAACTGATTGGATGACCAACAAAGGAAAATCAAATGGATTAATACAGAAATTGTTTTTTTTAATCCAATTCAATCACCTGATTAAATTGTGGAAAGACTCAGACACTGATTAAACTTCCTCCCCCTGATTCCTGGATTAGATTAAACTGGAAGCTAATCAAAAGGTTGAAGATACAATAAAAGACTTGAAAGTAATTAAGGTTGGTAATTTCTAATTATCATCAATATTATTATTAGGTTAATCTGTCTTAGGCATTAACAATTAACAAACATTCAGAATAACGGTAAATGTAAACTGGTGATCTAATCATGATTATAAGTGTTTATTAATAGTTACGACTAATGAATTGAATCTTATCATGATAATCATCATCATCATCATTCACAATTATTATATTAATATTAATTTCAACACCAATAATTCAATTGCCAAAGTTAATTACTATTAATTTAATAACACTACCAATAATAAACGATTATCTAAACCAGTTTGAAACAGATTTAACTCAACAACAACAATTAAACGGTAATTAACTTGATTAACATATTGACACTTTAATTTTGACCACTTTCTAATTGTACTTTTCTTAATTTTCTTAATTCTTATATCTCCAGGTAAATCTAATTACGATAACAATTAACAAGTATGGTAACATAATAATAAGTGATTTTATCTCATCTGATTGATTAGTTTATTGGTTCTTGATTGGTTCGAGTTAAGGATTGCCCAACAGTAAAAGGAAAACTACAACTAATCATTTGATAACTTTGATTTAATTGTACAGTCCAATTTAAATTTCAATCTAATTGACCTTATTAGGATATCCAAACATCATTAATACTTTCAGGCCTTTAGCTTGATTTTAATTGTTGAATTGATTAACAGATTGTAAAAATTAGCCAACAACAACAACAATTACAATTGTAACAATATAATATTATTGATTATTTTACCGTAGGTGTTAAGGTTAACCGGAAAAAGGTGTTACCTTTATATGCTACAATCAATTGATTGCCAACTAATCATCATCACTAGACATATTTGTATACATACAAAAAAAACACTCACACACAAAACTGACAATTTAACCTTGATTAATTACTAAATCAAATGAATTGTATTCCTATTTATAATACCTGTATCCCTTTTGATTAGTCACAATTATTACCCAGCAACTTAATCCTTAACCTTTTAAATCAACACCTTATCCCTGCAACGATTAACTTAGTGTTTATTTATTATTTTATTTTCATTTTCTTACAATTTATTAATCAAAATGTATCATTTGTATTTCTCATTTTCTCAGGTTGGTTGACATTTTCAAACATAATCGTCATTTGATGCTTCCAATGGTTCACATTTACATCGACTTTTACTCTTTAATCTGATCACTGTGTCCAATTTTCTGGATTCATCGACATTTTCACTTTCGTCATTTTCTGATCGCTGATTTCGAGCTTCGTTCAAACCAATCGAACCGCCGCCGCCTCGAGATGAGTAAAATAAAGCTCCAAACATGGCGACATAAATCATCAGGACGACCTATGGAAAGAAAAAGTAAACAAAAAAAGCAATCACCTTGATTGTAAACAATTATCACATGGTAAATATATATTCTAAGTGTAAACAACTAGAATCAAAATTAACAACAATCAAAAGTAAATTTGTTTTGATCAAATTTCACTAATTTGATTTGTAACAAGGAAACATTGATTTTTTTCTCCACTCAGGTTTAACAAATTCTTTGATTAATTGTCATTAGAATAGAGGAGCAATATAAGAGGAAATTGTCACTCAAATTGATTTGATTGTCAGAAAAAAAAGTTAATCATTTCAATACAAAATGATTTATATCTAAATTTACTGTTCAATTCAAAAGCATTTTATTTATTTTCAAAATACTAGTACCTTATTGATTGTTGTTTAATTTTGATTCAGACCTTTAATCATTTACTAAAAGTAGTTAATTCTGGTTAGTGATTAATTGTCCTTGAGATGAACAAATTTAAAAGATGAATCCAATGATGATGAAGATAATCTTGAATAATATTATTTGATAACAATGATATTTTCGAGGGAAGATAATTAATTGTCCTTGATAATGTATTTTTCTGATTAACAGCAATTTTGATTGTTATGAGTAGAGAAAAAAAATTCAATAGCTAAAACATTAATTAATGGCCACTTTAATCATGTAAAAAACTATCTAATTGATTTTTAAATGACCATTATTGTAATTAACTTATCACTCAACATTTGTTAATTGTTGTAACTTCACTTTGAGTTTTAACAGTTTGATTAATTGTCTGAGTGTTTACCCTAATTGAGTTAAATTGCTGTTAACACAAACAAAATGATTTGATTGATAAAAAAAGCAAAAAAAAAATTGATCATGAACTTGAAAATTGATTTTAATTGTGATTTTAATTTCTCTTTTCCCTTTAGACAATCAAAGTTAATCCTGGTTAAATTTGGGACGTTGACTTGTTATATAAATCGTAAACTTGATCAAAATTAATTGGTCAATTAATTAACTTATTAAATTGGTGATTTGATGTGAAAACGTGAATCAAATTTGAAACAATCAATTTGATACCAAAGGAAAACCAGGAAAATCAAAAATTGAAAGTAAACAATTGAATTGGCAAATGATTGGAAAACCAGAAATCAATTTGATTACGAGATTGAAAGAAGACGAGTTGACAAATTGAATTTTAAAATTAACGTTGATTACCAGCAATTTAAATTGTACATGATCAGAAAACTTATAAGTCTGTGGAAACCAAAAAATGATTTCCTTGAAAGTGTTTAATTTGAATTTATTTAAATGAAAGAATCAATTAAATGTAGAAGATGCACTCAGGTCCTTTCACAATTTTACCTGATTTCGATTCGTATCTTGGATAGTCGTTTGTTGATTATGTCACTAAGGCTAAATCAGACTCACAACACTAATCACAATGAATTACTAGAGTAATTAACAAGACAGAATTTCAGGGAACAAGAAAAACTGAGACACTTTTATATTTGAACAAGTTGAAGATGAAACTAACTCTAATTGTTACATTTTTTGGGTTCACTATTTATGTGAATTAGAACGGAAAAGGAAACATCTTAAAGAATGTAATTGTTGTTGGAACAACACATTACTGGTTACATTTAGAAAACAAAATTAATTCACTTGGGACATAATTAAGAAAATATGTGGCTAATTTAAGCCAAACTAATCTAAAAAATTACATTTTAGAAAAGAACAAAAAATGAAAATAGAAAATGAAGAAAGAGAACAAAGAAAAGAAAGAGGGAAAATCTTTGGGGACTTTGTTTAAATTGCAATCCTATTGGTTCCAATTTAAATTCTCTTGACAATTTTGATTAATTGAAGTTAATCATGAGAGAGTCAAATTTTACCCTTCACACCCCTCGCACTTGATTAAGACACTCTCTTTTGATTACGGAGATTAATCAGAATCCTCTTTTGATTTGATTTGCTTGATTCTTTGGGAAGAACCATTTCCTAAATTTTCTCTTTCGTCATATTCATTCAATTCCTTGGCCCATGATGATAATAATTGATTGACCATTGACATGTCCGGTGGTACACAATTTTCCGTATTGTAGTAAGGGATTAATTTCATTCTTGGATTTTGTTTCCATTCCTCTGGCCATGAGAATTTTCCTGCTTTAACTTGGGAGTCAAAATAATACAAGAGAGAACTTGTAATAGTATTAGCACAGGTTAATTGAGCATTTTTATGGTGAATTCCACCAAGAGTCAGGGCGATTTCTTCAATGTCCTTCCATAGGAAAATGAATAATCTCATAGCTGTAATAGCTTCCACTACAGGTGAATGAGGTTCAATAGGTATAACGTAACCAGGGAACCAGAGAAAAGCAATGGCTTGTAAATTTAAAGCTGATTGATAATACGGAGAGTAAAATTGATTTATCTCTCGACATGAGGGTAATAGTTGATTGATCTCATGAGAAGTAAGGCCAATATTTTTAAATTGATTAATTATTCCATAACCAACGATTCGAGTTGCACAAACGAGATATTTGATAACTTGGTCTCGTACTGTTCGGAGGTTACGACCATACTTCAGGTCTTGTCGAGTCAAACCATTGTAATTTTCATCACTTAATTCGATTGATGAGTAACGAACAAAAGTTTCGTAGACCACACTTAGATTTCCATCTACAATTGTTACCCAAATTGGTCTTGGTTTTAGTTTATCACCTTCTCTTATTGGAGCACAAAACATTGATAGGCAATAAGAGGTTTCTTTATTTTCCAATGACTCACTTGCTAGGGCAAATAGTTTAACTCTTTCTTGAGTCATCATTGGTAAGACGGCTTTCGGTCTATTGTCCCATGACGATTTGATGATCTTTCGTCGAACATTTCTCGCATAGACTTTCTTTTGATTAGTAGTTGTTTTAGGTACATCCAATGGTTGATTCTTATTAACACAAGAAGGAAATTGTTCTAACCATTCTAAAACATGATCTACTTCAGCTGGAGCTAATCTATCAAAAGGATTGACTCTGATGAACGGAGATTCAGGGTCTTCAACAAAAGCAGAATACATTACGACTGAACTTGAATCTGAATTGATCGATTCAGCATCAAAATCGGTAATACCACGAGCCCATTTTCTCCAATTAACTGAATCTTTGATAAGATACTCAGGAATAACAGAACTTTGCACGGTGGGAAAATCAGCAGCTCCGGGGTAATAAGGATTATTATCGATTGAAGGGAAACCAATTTCTCTTAGAAAAGCTTCCGTTTCTGACAATGGAGTTCTTGAATCTTTACCAATTTTCCAATTGTTCCACCAATTAAGGGACAAATTAGCATGAGCTCTCAATGATATCGGTTGAAGATGAGGATCATCAGGATTTTCATCTCTCATCTTGAGTAGAAACGCAAATCGATTAGCTGTTTGTTGCCATTTTTCTTCATGTGAAATGACCTCTATTTCATCTTTCGCTTTTAAATGCGGAGGTAATAGACCAGCTAAGGTTCTAGGCTTTTCCAAAACTTTCGCACATACTTGACCTTGTTTAAAATTTGGCAATTTTAAATCTTTGTCCATTGAGTAATCGATTGGTCCACGTCGACAGGTGAAAATGTGATTAACATAATTAATATAATCAAAGCTTAACTTACACCAATCACGATTACAGGTAAACTTAGCATCTTGATAGAAATGAATGATTTCTTCATCTCCAATTGGCACCAATTTAACATATGAATTTGATGTTGAGGCTTTAATCAAACAATTCTCATTAACACATAAGAATTCAGTTCGTTCTTTAGGTGGAGGTAGATTAACTTGAGTAATTCCTTGTCTTAACCATTCAGCACATGGAGTACAATAGATTTTTGTACATGATGAACAACATCTTGGATCGATTGCAATTTGTTCACAAAATAGACAGGAAATTTTCTTTACTTTGGAAAGTAAATCAGCATGAATTACTCTTGATTTGATTAACCCTTTTGGTAACTGATCGAATGAGATTAACCCAATATCTTCAATTACATTGAGCTTCATCTTTTCCTTTATGAATTCAACATAAAGATTTTTGTCCATTTCATATTTAACGAGTTGTTGATCAATCTCTTCACGAGCTTTCTTGAAGAATTCAATTCTTAAATATGACGGTCGTTCCTCTTCTTTCGGTGGTAATTTCGCTGGATATCGTTTCATTTTTTCATAGATGAAATTAGGAACAGGGTAACCAGAATTATCGACTTCATTGATATCTTCAAAATCCCAATACCTTCTTGCTTTTCCTTCAGCAACAAACTTAGGAAGAGGGTCAACTAATTTCGCATTACGATACAAAGAATCAGGATCACTTTTACCAGAATTTTTTGGATCATTTTTTGTTGAGGGTTCAGGCCAATCATCGAATTGGGACATGATTAATTTTAGTAAATTAATAACTTCGCACAAAGAAAATGAATAACTTTCACTTTGATTTGAATCAATTGATTTAACTGATGTGTCAATTAGGGCAAACACTTTGAAAATGAAAGACAATGGACATTGGTTTCTTTGTTTCTCTTCCTTAGAAACGTATTTTCAAGCGCCAATATCGGTAACCAAGAAGAAAAGAGTTGATTGTTAGCGGGTAATTTGATTTTCCAAATTTTACATTTTGTCCGAATTAATTAAATTAACACTAATTAATTGTTGTGACCTCGTTTTCGGTCTTTCACTATTAAAGTTCAGGGTTGAACATTTCACGATTAGCAGTTTTATATGTAGCTCTCTTCTTAACCACTTTAGTTGAATTTTCTTCAATTGGAATTGATTCTTCAAACTCAGGTAATTTTTCAATCTCAAGTTGATTTAGTTCGTTATCGATAATTGAGGTTAATTGATTATCACTCAATTCAGCTGATACGATTTCATTTGTTGAACTCAGCTCAACTTGTTCAGGCAATTCGTCATGATTTAAAGGATAATAACTTGATTCAGATTCATTAATTGTCGCATTTTGGTCAACTAACCAATCATCAAATTACAATCAAAATATTCATTTTTAAACTCAGTAAACTTTCATTCAATTGACAATTAAAGGGTTTGGTTAATTGTAAATTCGAGGTAAATTGTTCAAGATTATTAGGATTTAATAACAACACTGAACCTTTTCTTACCAAGAACTAAATAGGGACCATGATACTTTGGAACTAATTTCTTGGTTGTTCCAACGGATGGAGCAGAATTTTTTATTAAACAGAAATCTCCTACTGAATATGGATTCGGTTTAGTTAATTGTCTGAGTAGATTTTGATAATAAATTTGTTGAGCGGCTAAACGAGCTTTCGTTAATTTTCTTGCTTGATCAACTGACTTATTAGTAAACGAGGAAATCGACAATTGATTATCAATCGGAGAATTAGGATTCTTTCCAAAGATTAAGAAATGAGGAGAAAATCGATGAATTTTATGAATCGATGCATTAATAGAATAAACATTCCATTTTAGAACTTTATCAATTCCTTCATTCAACCCATTTTCGATTATGAAAGTTCTAAGTCTATCTCCTACATTTCTATTTGCTCTTTCAACTACTCCTTGCGATTGAGGATGATAAGGATTCGAAACCTCATGAGTGATTCCCTTTGATTTCAAGAACTTTTCTATTTCCTCTGAAACAAAATTTCTACCTCTATCTGTCTGAATGATTTTGGGAAATCCAAAAATAGAGAAATACTCTTCAAGAAAATTTTTAACTGTCTGAGAAACTTGATTAGGAAATGACTTTGCGTAAACAAATCGAGACAAAGTATCAACAATGACAAGTATCACCTTTGATTTTCCATTTTGATAGGTAATTGGACCTTGAGCGTCCATCTCAATTCGTTCAAACACAGTATCAGGTATCGGCTTTAACGATGGTTCGGCATATGTTGTATTCGATGGTTTACTCATTGCACAAGTTAAACAATTTCGACACAATTTATCGATCTCATCATAAAGATATCGCATCCAAAATCGTCGAGAAATTTGAAGATAAGTCTTCTCAACTCCGAAATGACCACTTAGAACTGAATTGTGTTCTTCTTCAAATAGCTTATTCAATAACTTAGGAGTTATCACTATTCGATAATTTTCATTTGTCACCATTGGTTTTCGGTAAAGAACTTCATCTCTTATCACGAATTTTTTATGAAAATCACTTTTTGAATTTTCTTTTAATTGTTGAATCACTTCAGATATCATTGGATCTTTTACTTGATAACTGATAATCTCTTCTTTCCAATTAGGATTTAATTTGAAATAAAACACAGAATTAGGTTTAATCACTCGATTCAATTCCCTAATATTTTGAATTGATTTCTCTTGATTGTCACAATCAATGTAAGTTGGATCACTTGTTATCATTAACAATTGTTCAACATATTCACTTTCTGGATCAATTGATTTCCTATGATCCCATTCCGATTGGTATCGGCTGAAACAGTCGGACGGATGTAACGAACCTTGAGTATAAATTACCTTATATTTATAAGCTCCAAGCATTATACTCCATCGTTGTAGTCTTTGGTTTTTGAAATTGATCTTAGGAAGTTGACATAAAGCATGATGATCGGTCTCCACAATGAACTCATCACCTTCCAAATAATGTCGAAATTTATTGATTCCAATCAATATCGCCAATAATTCTTTTTCACTCACTGAATAATTAATTTGATGTTTTAATAACTTCTGAGAGAAGAAGGATATTGGAAGCCAATTCTTAATTTCTTCCAACTCGTTTGATTCTGGTTGATTAGGATCTTCCTGAAGTAAAATCCCTCCAATTGCTAAATCACTAGCATCAACCGTTAATTTTTTCTTTCGATTAGGATCGAAATGAACCAACATCGTTGTTTCGATTAATGATTGTTTTAATTTATCCATCACTTGATAGTCTTCCTTTAACATTTTAAACTTCCTTTCTTTTGATATTAATCGATATAATGGTGCAGCTAATTCAGCATAATTAGGTATATATCGACTAAAATAATTATAACAACCAAGTTGCGATTGTAATTGTTTCAAATTATTCGGATAAGGGAGATTTTTTAACGCTGTTACCTTACCAGGATCTGGACGAATTCCTTTTCCATCAACCAAATGACCAAGTAATACCAATTCGGTGCAACCAAATTTGCATTTATCCGTTTTAACTTTTAGATTCCAGTCTCTTAATCGAGTTAGAACTCTTTCAGTATTATCTAAAAGTTCAGGCCAACTTTTTCCCATTACTGGTACATCGTCAAAATACCCTAAGCACTCCGAGTAATTCAATCCTTTTAACACTTTGTTCATTAATTGTTGAAATTCGAATGGGGCTGAAGCCAAACCCATTGGTAATCTTTTGTATTGAAATTTCCCATCGGGAGTAACAAATACAGTTTTACCTCTTTCCGAAGGTGGAATTTCGATTTGAAAATACCCTTGATATAAATCGAACATGTTAAAGTACTTCGAATCTTTAACTGCTTCCAGGCAATCATCTATTCGAGGCATCGGGTGAAAAACAACTTTAGTCATTCGATTGACTGTTCTCAAGTCATTTAACAATCTATACGATCCATCAGATTTAGGAATGATAAAGGCTGGAGATCCACCAGGAGCATCCGAAGGCTCAATAATATCTAACTCAAGTAGATCATTGATTAGGCTTTGGTAAGCTTTTCGAATGTGAATTGAACAGGGATACGGTTTCTGAAAGGGAACTTGATAATCTCCAATATCAATTTTAATCGGCCACTTTTCCCATGGAACGAAACCTAAATCTTTTCGATGCTTTGAGAAAACATCAGTAAATCTCATTAGAAGTTCTAGTAATTCATTCACTTGATCTTCTTTTAAATCAGGATTCATTCTTTTCTTTAATCGTTCAGATAATTCAGGAACTTCTTCTTTTCTATTTGTTTGGAAATAAACAGAAATTTGATCCAATTCTTTAGTCTCTTCCAATGTCTGAATGAAAAGCTTCGCTTTCGGGTTTTCATTTGCATGAATTAACTTTTCATCATCGACTTTCGGTTTCCTTAAAATACCACTTTCGACTCGTCGACTCAATTCAATTGATTCTTCTGGAGTACAGAATCTGAATAGAAGTTCATTTGAAACTGGGTCACTATCGACATATTCTTGTAGAGAAACTGAATAATTTCCACCGTTGTTTTTAATTGTCGTATAAAACATATCATTGAAACCATTTCCAACCACCATGATTGGTTCTAAGTTTCGGGCTATTTGAAATCTTAGCGCTTTGACTGTACTCATGTCCTTATGTTTCATAAGGGCATAAGCTCTCCTTCGATATCAAGATAATTGTTAGCAACTATACCTTTTACCGAAACATTTGATCTCATAATGAATGCATCCAATTGTTCAGCTAATCGATAATCAATACAAGCTGTATTTGCTCCAGTGTCGATTAGAACTTCACCACTTCGAACCAACTCACGATTTGGTTTGCAAAGATGCATCATTACCGTTGGAATGTTCACTATTTGTGGGTCCATTTTTGTAATCATCGGTCGACTCGGTTGGTTACAATTCACCATGAACATGAATTCGGATGGATCAGGTACTTTTGTTTCAGCTGAAGTTGAACTCATTAAGTTAGCACTTGTTTTCACTTGAGTTGAACTTTCAGGTTTCGCACTTTCGTTGTTTTTGGGACAATTTCTCGCGTAATGGCCTTCACCATCACATTTATAACAAGTAATTGTTGAATTTGATTGATTGTTACCTCGATTATTTGGTACAGAATTACCTTTACCTTTTCTCTCGTGGACACTTTTTCTTTTCTCTTCCATTTGTATGAAATACTTATGGATAAGTAAACCAAGTAGAGAGTCTAAATCCGTATTAGCTCGTACCTCGATTACCTTTTCTCGTAGATTTCTTGGTAAGTGTTCCAACACTTCGTAAAGAAAACCTTCTTTAGACATTTTACCTTTTACCTTAGTAACACGGTCTCTTAATCGGTCGACAAATTGAGACGGATGTTCATCGAAACTATATACCATAGAGCTTAATTCCGCTTGAGCTGTTGCCAATGCCGTAGGACCACGAAGATAGCTTTCCAAAGCTTGAACATAACTCTCATAGGTATGCTCTTCCTCATCCAACGTGTCCGCTGCATCCAACAGTTCAAAAGCCAACGCTTTTTTAAGCACTCGTAACCGAGTTTCATCTGAAACATTCTCGTATCGTAATTGCCTTTTCACATTCTTCAGCCAAGACCAAGCATCAACATTTTGTTTGAACAAAGGAATCACTGGATCCTTGGAACTAACATGATAAACTGGAGGCTGAAAATTGAAATGTTGATTAGGTTCAAACGGTGTTCTTAAAGGTGAACGGGGTGGTGAAGCAACTCTTGGAAGTTCGGCAACCAAAGGTTCCTCTTCTTCACCTTCATTTTCATTTTTATCGATCGTAGGATCATCATAATCCATTTCCTTCAGGATCATTGAGTCAAGTTTTATCACTTTCTTGGCAGTTGACGTCTTAGGTTGAATCGAAGTCCACTTCTTAATCATTGACCAAATGATTCTCTTCGCTGGATTCGAGACATTTAGCTTTCTAACCGCAGCTTCCGAAGCTAAGCTAATTACCTCTTGCTTAATACCAAGTTTTAAAACTATCTCCTTAATATCCGACTCAGGAATAGATTCCTTTCGCATCTCCTTTACCCACTCTGGAGTAATAATACCATCCAAGATATTAGCACTTAAACTCTCCGCGTTTACAGCACTATAATTCAATTTACACAATGCCAATTGTGTCACCACGGCGGATTTAAATAAAATCCTCTCATATGCTCCATTGGGCGATTCCAATCCCCAAGCCAACATATATTTAGAAATTTCCTCACTCGAAATATCTTTAACTTTCGGTTCCAAACCGACATCACCAGAGTTAGACATAATCACTTATCTCAAACGGCTATCCTGCCTGGGTCGCCAAGTGAAAGTGTTTAATTTGAATTTATTTAAATGAAAGAATCAATTAAATGTAGAAGATGCACTCAGGTCCTTTCACAATTTTACCTGATTTCGATTCGTATCTTGGATAGTCGTTTGTTGATTATGTCACTAAGGCTAAATCAGACTCACAACACTAATCACAATGAATTACTAGAGTAATTAACAAGACAGAATTTCAGGGAACAAGAAAAACTGAGACACTTTTATATTTGAACAAGTTGAAGATGAAACTAACTCTAATTGTTACATTTTTGGGTTCACTATTTATGTGAATTAGAACGGAAAGGAAACATCTTAAAGAATGTAATTGTTGTTGGAACAACACATTACTGGTTACATTTTAGAAAACAAAATTAATTCACTTGGGACATAATTAAGAAAATATGTGGCTAATTTAAGCCAAACTAATCTAAAAAATTACATTTTAGAAAAGAACAAAAAATGAAAATAGAAAATGAAGAAAGAGAACAAAGAAAAGAAAGAGGGAAAATCTTTGGGGACTTTGTTTAAATTGCAATCCTATTGGTTCCAATTTAAATTCTCTTGACAATTTTGATTAATTGAAGTTAATCATGAGAGAGTCAAATTTTACCCTTCATCCTTAATTGCTTGAAAAGTTTCATTCATCATTTTGCTAATATCATGTTGATGAAATTCATGTTTCTTTTACACCAAAGAAACAACAACAACAATAATGATAACAAGGTAATAAGAATTTAATTTAATTTCCCAATTCGACTCTGTATTTAATATATATAATACAGTCAACATTCAATATATTAACCAGTAAACACAATTTAACCAACAGAATTAACTAATCAGAATTAAATAACCCTTGATGTGTAATAACTTGTTAATAATAATATTATTTTTTCATATTTCTTATTACAGTTTTCATGGAAAAACAAAGATAACATTTTCACCTCCCTGCTGATATACTTTATGAGTATCATGAAAAAAGAGCTTGAACCAACTAATCATATTAACCATAGATAAATATACATGTATTTTCATGATGAATCGTGATTTGATTACTTAGAATCAAGTTAATCAAGAGAGCAAAACTGATGAAAATGTTAATACATATTAAAAAGGTGAACCCACTTTCAACTCTAAAAGGATAACGATAATAATAATCATATGGATGATGATGTTGATTTGAAAGTTTCCATTCCCATCAAGTTAACTGGATTAAGGATTCGATTATTTAAAATTATTAATTGTGTGGCAAATATTTTCTCACTGGTGACAATATTTATATTAATACATTTAAAAAGCATCAACGTGATGATCAAATGAATGACAGTGTTTATAGTATTTGATTGTTGTTATTTTTGATTCTCTATTAAGCTTTGATTAACCTCTTTATTTATCCTTGTTATTTTATTATCAACGAAATAACAAAAATATAAAGATGAGGATAACTATGATTATGAAGAAAAGTTTCAATCCCATGAGCCATGATAATAACTTTATAATAACCATGATAATAATATTTAAATCAGAATGAAAAAAAAAATCTTGAAACATTCTGGTTCATAATATTATCATGATTATTGATTATTCAGCTTCAGTTTTTGGATGATAATAATATCAAAAAAAAAGATCTCAAGCTTATTCATCATAATGATGAGATTTGGGTGATTATTAAGGATTAGAGTTTACAATTAGTGAATTCTAGACTATTCTTATGCTAATCACGATTAAACTAATATTCAACTGTTGAACAATTTACTTGATTCATACTATAATTGTGAACATAATCAGCTAATACAATGTTATTATATTATTTAAGGTAAAAGTTATCAAGTTGAATTGTTATCATTTGAAGTTTGAATTATTTTCATTTACTATTAATCTTGATGGTGAAAATAATCATTACATGAAAACTAATTGTTGATTATCCAATTTAATCATTGAGATTGATTTTCATTCCCTGATAAAAGTAGTATTAATTTTGTCCTCTTAGTTGAACAGTTTGATAATTACGATGAATATTAATTGTAATCAACAAAATTGAAAATGTTTTAAAGTGAATGAGAAAAAATTGATTTAAATAATTGGTATGAATTGGATTAATCTGATTACTGATTTACAATTTGGGAAAAGATGATTCAATCAACTTGATGAAATTTTAATGTCTTTCTTGTTGATTAAACTAATTAAATCAAATCAACCTGAATTGGTTAATTAATCAACAGTTACTTGTTCATTGATTACTAGAGTTGCGATTTAGTTTGAATAATTTATGAGTTTGATTTGAAAGTGAAATCATTTCAATATTATTCATCAGCAAAATTGACAACAATTTGAATCATGTTGATGGTGAATAATATTGAAACTGAATTTCAATCGTACCTGAAATTTTAATGATAAAACTTTGGCTTTTTGTGTTGAGATTTTGTTCATTTTCATTCATTCATATATAATTGATTTCCCAGTAGTTTCAGTAACTTCCTTGTTCATGATGAAGCTGTTATTTCACCCATTTGAATAATCACAAAATTCTGACTGGATTCATGAACAATTCAACAATTGTCTTGGAAGATTTCTTGTTCCATATCTTTGTCTTTATTATTCATCATGATTGATGAACATTCTGGCTCATATTGGTTCATGATAATGTTCAATACACTTTTTTTTCCTACCGATTTCATTTCTATCATCATGAATATCACCCACAAACTCATCATCATGAATAGGGTCACTTAGATAAATATGATGGTAAACAGATTCATGAAATTTATGATAACATTTCATACTGACTCTCTAATGACACTAGAAAATATCTCCATGAATATGATGATGATGATGATGATAATTCTGATGTTACCAAAATTCTGACTGACAATAATTCTGAAATCAATCAATGAACATTTTACCTTCTTTTTTTTATCCAATTTCTTTTCGATATTATCTGAATAAAATTAACCAGAACTTTTTTCTCCTTTCAACTGTTAAACATTCAGGAAATGAACATTTATCATGATGTAGATAATGATATTATCTTTTATCCAGTAAATAGTGAAATCCGATTAATAATCATGTTCACAACTTGAGGAATTAAGTAAGTAGAATGTTATTCAAAATGTTTGGTGAGTAGAAAAAGATAATTCCTCAAGTCTAATTGAACTTGAAATGAGAATAACAAGAAAAAAATTTAGAGTTTCGAATTCCAAATTGATGGTGGAAAATTCAGTTCTCTTATTCATCAACTTTCTCAACTTTCCATGAATTAAAGAGGTGAGAAAAAGGAAGACAAACAATTCTAGACCTTCATGGAATCTATTGAATATCCTATTGACTATTTTTTTCCAGGTGAAGATATTATTATATCTCAAATATATATAAACGATATTGTCATGATATCAATTTCCAGGGTGTTACACATGATGATGTTATTCATGTTTACCGTTATCCGATTGATAACATGCTAGTATTATCATTATCATTTGTCATCCATTATGCAACGATAATGATAATATAATTCAGCAAGAATATAATTTATGATTAATATTATTATCATGACAATGAACAGTTTTTTTGCTTCTTCTTCCTCCACCAGATCAGTTTGAATCAATTTCAAGGAATGATAAATGTTCAGGTTATCATGAATATCGGTCCAAATATTAATAATAACATGAACAATATGAGTCATGAGACCACCGATTGTACAACTCAAATTATTGGTTGTAATTTGATTCTCAATGAGTTATAAAGTGATTTAATTCAGTTAATCAATTTACTAATTGTCTTTTCTTCACGTCAGGTCAAATTTTTGGTGGAAATGTTCATTTCAGGTGAGATAACATTTTCATTTCCAGTTAATTATATACTTGAGAACTTTTCTTCTCCTTCAACTTTTGTCTCTCTCTCTCTCACTTCTTACCGGGATAAGGAAGATGCTGGTTAAAGGTAAATAATAGTTCTCTATTAACCTGAAATTATCTTCTTCATCCTGGTGAATTCATCTTCTTAATGATATCTGATACTTACCACCACATAGATTATAGCCTCGGTCGATTGTGCCGAGAATAGAACTCGAAGAGTTTTACCTTCCTCTTTGTGGGTTTCATCGAAATCGTATCGAGTGATTAAAGGTAACAATTGACAAATTGATGATTCTCTATATAAATAAAGGAAGAGAAAGAAAAAAATAGAAATCGAAAAAATCGATTAGAAAATAGAAAGAGAAAGGGGGAGATGAATCATAAAGAAAATTGTAAAGAATTTTTTCACCCAAAATTCCCACAGAATTTTTCAGACAAAACTGACACCATGAGAACCATCAACTCAAACTGTTTTTCAGAACCACATCATGAGATTGAAAAAATAATCATTCGTTTTGTCATCAAGTTTTACCTCGAATTTCAACTTTGTTGAAAGGTTAAACTTTATTTTCTCTTTCGAATTTAATTTTTTCCAAATTCTCAAAATCGATGTCTAATTATTTTCGAGTAAATTATCTTGCGAACTAGAAAAATATAACCATTTCCTCTTATCCCTCACCCACTCAAATTAATTCATCTTCATCTAGTTTATTGTTATTAGTTAATAACAATCAAATTGTGTAATAAAAATTGATAGTAATTCCTATTCACCTGGTGAACATTTCTCAAGACAAGGCTTTCATTTTGTTCAGTCAACCTGAGTAAATTGTTTCTTCATTCATGGTGAATAATTTAAGATACGATAACTAATAATATTTAGATACTGGAATCATTTGGTTGATTGTTATGAAAATTAATTCTGTTTCAGATGCATGAGCATTATTCTGAAAGGGATATAATTAGATTTCCAATCATCGAGATAATTATCATCTTGATGTTTACTATAGTATTTTCTTGATATTAATAACAGAAAAGAGTGACTTCCCGATAATATTTAGAACATTTGACCTTTTCGAAAACACTTTGAACAATCAACTAATACTGACCATTGAAATGTTCATTATGCCGATGGTCATTTCTATCGAAAACCATCTCAAGGTCAAAAGAAAACTTTTCTTTTCTTTGTTTTTCTTTTCTCATGAATTTAGTTCTAAAAAGTTCTGAATCTGATTTTCTTTTCTTTTCTTCTTTGAACCAGAAAAGTTTCATCTTCTTTTTTGATTGAACAAATTTCGCTTTTGCTCAAAATTCAAACATGATAAAAATTCTGATCATGAATCAGAAAGGAGAAACAATTTTTGATGGTTTATCTTTCCAAAATGGTCAAGAAAATAAATAGTTTTTCTTATCCATTCCGGATAATTCATATGTTCACTTTTAATTTAACCTTCTATCTCTCAATGGTTTACCATCATGATAAGATGATGATGACCATCATGATAGGATGACCATCCGAATGAGATTAGCTTTCACTTTGATATGTGTGTGCTACATATAGTTGAAGATGATAAGTAAATGTCACTCGACCAAACCAAATGTCCAATGTTGACCTTGTGTATTTGGTCAGATAAACATGGAACTTTTTGAATCAATTTGAGCAGAAACAAAAAATTGAATATGAATTTGATATTTTCCCCTCCATTCCTTTTCACAGGGTCATTCAGTTCACCTGAAAATTGAGCTCAATCCAAGGGTCAGAAAGGTAATCCAAATGTATCAGAAACTTTTCCCTCTTCCAAAGTAGCTTTGAGAAAAATCCCTGGACACCGTAGTGGACATTACATATCAGATTTAAAGTTCATTATCTGACCACTCAATTGTTATCATAACAGTCCAAGGGATTAGAAACAATTTATTCCCATTCTACTGACCAATCAGTTTTTTCCCCTTAATCTCCCTTCCTCCTATCCACTGGTCAGCTTGAATGGACAAACAGAGTTTGTAATTAAAACTAATCACCTTGATAATTGATTGTTTGTCATATTGATTTGTTTCAAATGTTTCATCAAACATGATAATTATAATGAAAAAAAAACAAACAATCTAGAGATGATGTTATTGAATTCAAATTGATGACCATGTAAACATTTGATTGCTTAATTAATCTTGCACAATCAATAACTAATTAGTTAAACAACCAATTGAGTTAAAATTAGGATGAAATTAATAACCTGAAAGCTTGTTAATTAAAAGTGATTAAGTAATCGGATTCATGATAACTGATTCTTGTACTTTTTTTTACATGTATGAATATTTTTACTTCATCTCTCATCTTGAACATTGAAACTGAATCATAAATGAACTTTTCATGGTGATAAAAAACAGTTATGTAAATAGTGATTATTATTATGGTGAGAAAACAAAAAAAAAACTGAATCATAAATCTTGACAATCAAAGTTGATAATAACATTGTCTTTTTTGATTTACATCATTTGATATTCATTTTCATGGTGATGATAAACAACCAAGCAGAAAAAAAAGTTGATTCTGTTGTTTCAGAAATCATCATGAGCCTTCATGATAAATTCAGTGCATCTCTATATGTAAATGACATAACGATGATGATGACAAACTTCACATGGATATTTATATAAAGTCAAGTTAATTATATCTATAACTAGAACTCATTTCCGTCAAGAGTCTGAAGGAAAAAAAGTTGAGAAGAAAACAAGATGATGATGATGATGAAGATTATGGTGCTTAAGGGAGAGAGACCTAATAGTAAATAGATGATGATGAGAGATTCGTTAAGTGACCTTATCGATTGATTCGTGGTTTTCACTAGAACTGTTCATCAATGAGAATCCCAAGAAAATCATTCATCATCATTAAGAGTAACATTCAGTTTCAATTTTTCACCTAACTGGAGATTCAATGGTTCCATAGGTTTCATCATCTTTTATCATCTATTTAATAACAAGAAAATCACTTGTCATCATCATCTTTTCATCATTATCATCATCATCTTCTTACCTGATTTCTTTTTTCTCTATTTCTTTTTTTTCTTCTTCATCTTCTCTTAATAATAATTTCGTAACATCCAATAACGAAGATGTACTAATAGTGACAAAAAGGATCATATTAATCAGGATAATATGAACTTTTCCTCTATCTCTTTGTTTTTCATTCAATTCAAATGAATTACTGAACCTGTTTCTTCACGATTTACACCATGATTCCTGAAACTGAATCAATATTCTGATAGATATATTAAGAAAACTGTCAAAATCATTATTGTCTCTTTTTTTCACCTTAACTTCACTCAACCGTTTACCATGATAATGATTAACATTAATTCCTGATTGTTGTTGACCATGTTGTTCAAATATACACACAGAATTTATCCCTTAAAGGTAAACACATGATTCAGATTATTTACCAAAGGTGATGGCGATTGGCTTAAAGTGTCAACAGAATCGGAGAAAAAATCATTTATTATCTTGCTTTTTCATGATCGTTTTCATGGTGAAAAAAAGTCAACTAATGAAAATGAATATTTTATGATGAATATTATGACTTTAGGGTTACCTGAATTTGACATTTTCATTCATCTTCATTAAGAAACTCGATGAAAGATGATGACGATGACATGATTACCTTTCACTCAGAACTTTTTTTCTCAAAACATTTTGAGTTCAAAGTGACAAATTGATGTCAGGTAAAGGTTTTCAATTACTTTCACTAAATTGTCAATCTTTTGATTTACATTTAAAATTAATCACAATTTGATTTAATAACTTCAAAATTATGGTGATAATATGAGTTGATTCAATAATTTTAGAACCTAAATTTCATCTTGAACAATAATTTGATTTAAATTGTTTCAATTCACAGGTTTATAAATGTTAATTTGATCATTTCTTGTGACAAAATCTAAATTAATTTACTTACGGATGTTGATTACAATCAAATCTGGCTTTGTCTCCAATATTTAGTGGCATTGGAAATGTTTTGATTGACTGAACAATTAACTCATTCAAACAGATACAATAACAATTAACCAAAAAAAGTTTCAATTATGTTGATGATATGATAAAAGGTGTCTAGTCAAAACAATTAGAATCCCAATTAATATTGACAATTGATTGTTGTTTTATGTTGATAATTTAGTTATGATATGAATTGTTGGCGAGATGATGGGTGAAAACATGATAACAATCAACAATTACATGAGTTTTTACATGTTAATTAAATGAAAATGTGATGTTTGTGACATTTAACTGAGCAGATGAACAATAATCTTAATCCGGTGGAGATGAAGATAAAAGTGATGATATGAATAGTTTAGAAATCTACTTCATGATATTACCAGTGATGATGAAGATGAGGAAGATAATACAATTCTGAAGAGAGAGAGAGAGAGAAAGAAAGAAAGAAAGAGAAAGAGAGTTGATGAAGATTATGTAATGTTCACAGATTCGTAAACTTCAGTTGAATGTTTCTGTTATTATCGAAGTTGTCGAACATAAAGAAAAAGTGAAGATGATGAAAGGCAAAGAGAAAGAGAGAGAATTGGATGATAAATTCACGACGAATGCGCTGTTTCGAATTTTCCTCTGTTTTCGACAACTTATTCGAAAATAATCTTCTATGTTCTATTCATTTGGTTCAGTTCTTCCTGTTACTTTTTTCTCCTTTTCTTCTTACAAAAGAATATTTCAAATTTCAAACTTTCTCTTTTCTTTCCTTTGTTCTTTTCTAACAGGAAACCCCTAAAGCGACTTAAACTGTCCTAAACATCGAACTCATTCAATTGTGTTTAACTCGCCACTTTTTTCGAGCTTCAGTTTCATTACTTTGATAAACTTTACTAGCTAAAGGCAACTTGAAACCTTCTTTTGAAATCGTTGGAACCTCGAATCAGAAGTTGTATCAAAGGTTTTAGTCCACATTTAACTGTTCGCCCTTCAACCGAAGCCCGGTTAGCTCAGTCGGTAGAGCATGAGGCTCTTAACCTCAGGGTCGTGGGTTCGAGCCCCACATCGGGCGGTTCGATTACTTTTTTGAGAAAATCGAAAAAGAAAACTTTTTTTTCCATAACAACTTTTCAATCTTATCTTTTAATGAAAGATACAAATGATTAATCAACAGATTAGCAATTGATTCTCCTTATTCATCTAATTATTTTTGCATCATAGTCAATTTGAGTCAATCAACTAAGATAATGATGACAAGTTCAGTTGATGATTAAACATTTCATTTGATTCATTTTCCATGAAAAAACGTCTATCTACTAGAGATTTTTACTTTCATGTCGATTTCCCTGTTATCAGTCAGTATATATAATGGATTCTGAGTCTAGAATTTCCTAAAGGAAACTAAAGAAGGAAAGAGGAAGAAGAAAAAAGGAGGAAGAAGAAGAAAAAATAGAAAGGCAAAGATGATGAAAAGAAGAAGAGAAGAAAAAAAAAGTTCTAACGATAAGAATTGACTGAAAATGTTTCAGATTAACCTCAGGTGACTTTCCATGTTATCATGATATCTGGTTGTTTGTTTGTATCTCCATTAGCTCACCATGAGTTTACCAAGTGTCAAAATGGATTCTGGTTGATCGGAAGACACATTAGAGGATAATAATGACACTACCATCATCCTCCTCATCATCATCATGAACAAACCTGAATCTATGAGCATTCAATTCAGTTCCAATTTGAGATAATGTTTCAAGTTGCTCAGGTAGAAAATGATTAAACCTCAATCTCTCAAAGGTAATATGATAATAATAACTTTTACTTTTTACTAATTTACCTGAAAATGGCGAAACTTTAATAATCTGAAAATCTCATGAAACTGGAGCATCAAGTTGACGACGATAAAAAAAACAAAAACTTTATTACCAAACTTTATTTTTCGCTTCATCAGTTAATCCAGTAAATCTGTTAATCCATCAAAAACAATTACTTCACTACGTTAGACTTGCTATTTGATAATCTTCCAGTTAATTGTTGTAATGTTTACAATTTTGATTAATTAACAGAACCAGAAAGAGAGAGAAAATCATAGAAATAGAGTTGGAATGATTAATCAATAGGGATGATTGGTCACTAATGTTGTTGTTACTTTATTAATGGTCATCTTATTGATCTTAAGCAATTACAATGAGTTGATTATTTTCTTTAAGTGTAAAGACTCAAAACAATCAAATTAACCATCAAATCATTTTAATTGTTGCCCTATTTTTAGTATCGATCGATAAACAACAAACTTAATCACCATAATATTTTGTATCAAGAAGATTAATCCAATTTACAACGATCAATCAATTGTCATATTTTTTGTTTCCAACGTAATTTAAATTAACACAATTAAAAGACAACGATATTTAGCATTTTGCTTTCTCTCTGTCATTATTATCATGATTCAATAATTTCATGATAATCTTTTGTTTACAATTTAAATTGTTTCCACTTAATGAATAATATTCATGTCAATTGCACAGTTATCACCATAATCATACTCATAATGAACTAATTGTGATGATCACAATCAAATTTGATTCAACTTTTGTTTTTCCTGAAAACTCATTGAAAATTGGGTCTAATGAGATTCAAATGTCAACACAAAGTTTTGATTTTTTTTCACTTTGTTGATATTTTTTCATGGTAAAGATAAACAAGAAAATCAGTTGATTGTGACAATTTAAAAGTTTCAACTGTTCAAACGTAGAGAGATTTTAATTATTCAGGTAAAAATAATGAATCTAAAAAAAACTTAATTCTCATAAAGTGTAAACATGGTAATAATATTATTCAGAATCTACTGAATAATATGTTGATTTTATTTCGAGAGGAAAATGGAAAGTATAATATTTTTTTTTCTGTTACTTTGTTATTCATGGTGATCATCATCATGATTATCTAAATAACTGAGTTGGGTGGGTTGTTATCAAGGTGTGTAAATATATTTCCATAAATTTTTCTACCATGAGAATAAGTGGAAAATATCATATTAATAATATTCATTTTATGGGCAAATCATTGGATCAGCTGATGTCCAGCCAATTTCCTCTGGAGTAACTTGAGTTTTCATCCATTCAATGAGTGGAGCAAAATATTGTAATAATGGTTCAGCACTCATCTTCTCACTTCCGGTCATCATTTTCAAAGCCTCTGACCAATGTTTAGAAGCACCAAGAGACAGAACGTTACTAAGAAAACGAAAAGGAAAAAAAGTCGAAATAATAATATTAATAGTAATCGAAAATAAACAAATTAGAACTTTTCTCTCTCTCTCTCTCCTCTTTTAACTTTCGTAAACAACAATTAACACATTTACTTAATTGTCACATGATAATTACCTTAACAATTGACCAGCCTCTCGAGATTGATAAATGTCACATTGATACAAAGGTCCAGTATTATTAGCAGCCTCACAAAGAGCTTTATGAAACTGGAATTGGATTATATAGCTTACGAAATACCTGGAGAATAAGCAATTTAATCAGATTAATCAAATTCGGAGAAAGGGGGTGGGGTGGTTCTAAGAAAAGTTCTAAATTCTCATAAATATAAATGCATATCTTAAGATTAGAGAGAAATAAGGATTGGAATCATCAGTTAATCATGATCATGATAAGAATAATCATCAATCTATTGTATTGAATAATAACTAATTGATTTAGTTACTTGTTTTTGTTTGTATATATAATCTGATTAATCTGATTAATGAATCATGATAATTGTATAAAGAGATTTACAATTTTCCATTGAAATGAAAATTAATAGAAATCACAATTTGATTAACAATTGATAAATAATTTGATTCACCTTGGCAACGAATTTATTAGAAGAATCAAAATAATGAGATTGAAAATTGAACTTTTCCTTTCTGTTTCATGGGAATTCATAGTTTCATGATAGTAAGAACTGTCGAAAGGAAAACTCAATCAGATAAAGAAGCATCTTAGCAACCATCAGAACTTTTCAATAAAACCGATTCTGATAACACTCGTCTCTATAATTGATTAAAACGATCATAATTTACATAAAATATTAATCAGAATATTTCATCGTGATTAATTTTAATCTTAATCTGATGATTCTTATAAATCGATGACAATAACTATCAGCAAGTCTACCATGAAAATTTCAATTGGAAAATCATTCAGTTCGAAAGTTAATGGTTCCTGTATTCGGTGTCAATTTGAATTTTATCGTGATGATGGAGGAAAATTCCTCATGGGAAGTTGAAAGGAAAAGTAAGATGAACAAGAGAGAGAGAGAGAGAGAGAGAGATTCTTTTCCATTCTGACAAATGATTGAAAACGAAAATGGAAAAAGTTCTGATCATGATGAAAATACGATTCATTATCTTCATCGCCAAGATGCAGTTTCTATTTACCATGTAATGGGTTTCCGTTCATTTACCAGGAGTAAACTATGATTATCGTCATCACTTGTTGACATTATCATGTGGTCTCTCCCTTAACTTTCTGTCTCTCTCTTTCTCTCAATTCATGATAATACTTTTCTCTCCTGATTCTAACTCGATCAAATCAATCAATGTAATGAGATACAATGTAATCATTTCGATTCTTATTTCGATGCGGTGGAAAAGTTCATTTGTCATGTTACCTTCTTTCCAATTCAATGGTGATAATGTTTACGTAATCATCTCATGTGATTAATTATCTCGAATGTAAATATCACATTCAAGTTGATTTTCGGTTGCAACTCTTCAAGATTGAATAAAATTTACATTCGATTGATATGTAATATTACATTTGAATATAATGCTAACCTTGAGAATTATTTTCTTCTTTCAGATAATATTTGTTTCTGTTTACCTGATGTAAGGAACACTCGCTGCTATATGGTATTTACTTCCAGGATCGAAGTCATCTTCAGTTCGTCGAACCGGTGGACATAAACCTTGATATCGAAGTCGATATTTCCACCAGAGTTTATTAAGATTGGCGTGGGTTGAACTATTGGCGAAAACTTCCCACCTCCATTTATCCATAAGATAACCCGATGGGAGAAAAGCAATTTTATCCAAAGCCATGGACATTAAATGGTTCAGATCACCTTCAGGGTCACTTGAGATTTCATCAAGTAGACCGATGGCCTTCAAATGGGACGGGGTGGAAACGGAAAGTGCCAAAGTGTCACCAACAGCCTCGTGGAAACCAGGATTAGCTCCGGTTCGGAAAACATAAGGTTGATCTTTGTATTGTAAATAGTATTGAATGTGACCCATTTCATGATGAACAACGATGAAATTTTTCATGTTACGATCGGTGCACATTTTGATTCTTACATCATCGTCACCGCAAAAGTCCCAGGCCGATGCGTGACAAGTGAAATCACGGCCATCAGCGGGTCTCTCGATAATTGAATTGTTCCAGAACTTATCAGTCATCGGCTTTAAACCCAACGAGGTGAAAAAGGCTTCCGATATTTTGAAAATATCGACAACACTTATGTTCTGAAATTGGACAAAGAAAAAAGCAACAAACAATCAACCAATGATTCGAGAATAACAAAAACAAACTCCAACAGTTAAGGTCAATTTTCCGTTCTCCGATAAACTGAAACCTCTTCCAATAGATGTCACCACCAAGTGTAGTAAAGATGAAAAGTTTACAATAAAAATCAGTTAATCACTCACCTTGGCAATAAGATTATCAGTAATATCAACTGAAGGTTTATCCGGGAACGGGATTAAGATATCACGTAAACTGGACCAAGACTGACCCCACATATTACCTGGTTTTATCCGAGCAAAGAGATGGAAAAATTTTCCAAAAGGTAATCAAATTAATAATCGATTCGTAATCAATAGGAAGAGTAAATTAAAAAATTCCAAAAGCAATCAACTAATCATTTTCAATTAGATTGTAAAAAAGTAACTTTCATCTGAAATCCATTAATCTAACCATCTTTATATGAATTTAATCATAGAGATAATCAAAAGTTTTGTTAATAGAAACGAACTCAATTTAATTAGTGAAACAATAGAAAAATTGAATCAAAATCAAGATGAACAATTAAGTTAATTTCTTACCCAGAATATGAGCTGGAATTGGTCCATTTCTTTTAATCTTATCTTCACCATAGAGATTAATCAATCTTTTCCTGGTATAAGCATGAAGAAGCTTATATAAGGGTTCGAGTTGTTTCCAGATCGTTTCCAGGTCATCTACAAGCGTATCCGATTCATAGCCCGCTCTCCATAGGTCACCAGCATCAGCGAAACCTGAATAAGGGAAAAAGGAGAAACGTTAAAACGGGAAACGGAAACAAAGGTCAAACCAAAAATGAGGTTACATAATTACGAGTGTGAAAAATATGCAATTCAAATGATTACGATAATAACAATTATCATGTCAACTTAATCATGATTAGATGATGAGGTTTACTTAGCACACACCTTAACCCATATTACATAGACCCGACGATTAGAAACTGCCAAGTGGTCATTACCATACAGAGAATGGCTCGGAAAGTGACCTCACTTTTTTCAAAAATGACCTTAAAAGTTACTATGTTAATTTGGAGCAATTTAAATCTTGATTTAACTGTGTAATCTATTTCCAATTACCTTGTCAATTGTTAACTTTCTGCTTGGTCAATCTAATGATCATACAGAAAAGTGATCATGATTAGTATCATAACTAGAAAATGGCCTCAATAATGACCTTAGGTCAAGGTTTATTACTAACGATTCTAAATTCAACCTCTAATCATTTAGCATTTCAATTGTAATCGTTTCTTTGATTCCTCTTCTTATACATTTATATTATTCTTTGCGGTTAATTGTGGACAATTTAAATTGTTACCAACTATTAATATATCTTTTTAAAATCCTCGCTTCACTTATATTATCTGAATCTACTTTAAATTGTTGCCTGACAATTAACTCAATGTAATCAATTTTAATTACAATTGTGATGAGAGTATCATTCACAATCAATTCATAACCTGAAGCTAATTAGCTGACACATTCAAATTAATGACAATTAATTATTTTCCAGTTTTAATCATGTTTATCTTTCAGTTTTTTTTTCATCAATCATTTAGCTTATTTACTAATTGTTACAATTTAATATCAATGAAATCAAAATTTTCCCGACTAATGTAACAATTTAACTTGTCAACACAATGTTGATGTTGATTAGGCAAATCATCAAGTGCTAATAATTAACTTTCAATACCAATTAATAATTTAGTTTAATCTTGATTGTAATCAAATAAAAGAGGCTTTTATAATAATAATAAATGTTCAGTAATTATTGATTACAATTAAGCTAATTATGATTGCATTGGTTTTAAATTGTTTCGCCCATCAAATTTATCGCAATCAAATTAAGTAGAAAAAAATTTAACTCATAATTGTTAACACAAATTGTTAAATAAAATTAAAATCAAATTAGTAACCTAATCATGATTAAACAGATGACCCCAGCTAAATTGTAATCAAGTGAACAATTAAATTAGGTAGACAATCAAAGGCAAGGTCAATGTGAGTTGAAAAATCACAATTAAATCAAAGCCAATCAATCAATTTGAAGGTAAAATTGAGATAAATTGTTGAACAATTTAAATCTAATCAACGTAAACACAACAGGCCAACGAAAAATTGATTAAGGATTAAGGTAATATTAGATTAAAAATAGAGATTAACCCTTTCTGATATTATGATCAACCTATTTTCACACTTGATCATAATCATTGTTGAAATTATCAGCAATCAACAATCAAAGATTAAACTGTTAACAATTTAAATTGGAAGATGAACAAAATGAAGATGTTTCCATGTAGCGATCGTATGAGAATTAAATTTTTCCCTCTCTCCATGGAAATCGATTGATATTTATTCATTTCATGATCATTTCGTGATTAGTTTTGATTATGTTTACAGATAGAAATTAATAGTCAACAATCAAATTAAATTCTTACCATTTAGTTGAGCAGCTTCGTTAGATAGTTGAACGTACTTGAGATATTTACTTCTCATTGTCTTTCCAGTTACATCTCGCCATTGGCTCCAAATTGATTTCAATTCCTCATAATTTCTTGATTCATCCATAATTCTGGTGATATCTGAATCATCAGGGAAGAGAGAGAGAGAGAGAGAGATAGTCCATCAAAAATCAATATAATTCAACATTTGCTATCAGTAAAGTTCATGATAATCTCACATTAGGTGTTCAATTGATTCATCGTAAATGATAAACGTGAAAATTTCATGATAACTTTATGAAATTTGTTTTTTCTTCAATTTCAACAATTGGAAAGTTACTCAATTCCTTTATCATGATAATATTATTATCTTACATAATATTAATAGTCAACATGAATTATACTGTTGGGAAATTTTCCCGTAAACAATTGAGCTGAAAGAAATTCATTGGCAAAGTTCATGTAATTTTCAGGTAATTTCATATTTTCTTTGGGAAAAACAATAAAAAGAATTGAAATTATTATCATTTCTTACCTGGCTCGAAATTGAGATTACATTTGGATCTATCAATTGTCTTATTAGGTGAATATGGGCAAACTTTTCCAGAGGAATAAGAATCTTCCATGTCAGCAGTAAGTTCATTAAGCTAAAGATTCACATGATCAACATAAGAGTTATGATTATCTGATTTATTATGAGAAAAGAAAAAAACAAAGTTAATAATTTTCTTCAATTACCTGAGTCAATTTATCTCCATCAAGGACACCATTGCCAAGAACTGAGAGAGACTTAAACCACCGGCGGATAGTTGGATCAGAAAAGTTTTTCCATGCAAAGGAAGTCGCATTGAGCCAAGATTCCTTGGTGAATTTAGATTGTTCAAGAGAGACATTTAGCTAAATTGATAATAGAAGAATAGAAGAAAATAAGAATTAATCATTTGAATTCTCTCATTCGAAATTGAATACAAAATAAAAGTTCATAGTGAATTCTGACTGTTTTCAGTGAATCAACTAAATAACAAAAGAGAGGCTGATAATTAGCAAATAATCAATTCAGTTGATTATCATAAGTAAATTCTGTCTGGAAATCTGATTCGTATCAAGATCTAATTATCATCAACAGGACAAACTTGAACTACTCAGAGACTCATCATCATCATCATCGTTAGATTTTCCCAACAATAATGATACAATTAACTGAATCAAATCGAATGGAAATTTATATTTATTATTGATTTGTGAAAATCTACAGAATTACAAGTCGAAGAACAAAAATCGAAAGTTCTAATTCAGGATTGAACGGAAGTTAAACCAGGAAGGAAATCGTTTCAAGATGATTATTAGGAAACAATGAAATGAGATAATCATCGAGCTGAATAATCAACCATGAAGGATATAGAAACTAATAGATATCCGAAAGATGGACAATCCTGAAATCACTCTCCTTTTAAATCACCAATCATCTTGATGGTCATCATGAGAGTGTATATATACCTTTCATGCTTCATGGGGAATCTACTGTATATTAATCTGAATCAGTAACTGAATCTAAATAGATCACCAGCAATCAACTAAACCAGTTAAACGACCAGAATTAAAAGCTTTACCTTATAAACGATGAACCTTATTTATTGCTTCATTTGTATCTTGATTTAAATTTCTGTTTAAATTATCAACATCATAAATTGTTATCATGAACAATATCATAATCTTAATCAGAAGGAATTAATTTCTAATCATGTCAATGACCGTATAAGTTTGGTGAGAGTTAATCAAGAGTAAGAAGAGCAACAATTGTCAACAATCAGTGGAAATATAATCAAAATATTAGCAATCAGAATAAGAAAATCAACAATTAACTAAACTAGAAAACTCAATCTTAATCATCAATATTCAAAGTCTAATTGTCACCTAATCATTATATCAAATTATCACAATAATTTCAGTGACAATTAAGAGATCAGAAAAGTTTCATTATAAATCATTAGACAATTGAACAAACAACTGATTTGATTACTTGAATCAAAGTATTGAGATAATCATGATAATATGGACAATTTAAATTATTGATTTGAACAAATAATCATGAAGAAATTAAAATTAAAATTGTAATATGATTGTTAATCATATAATGATGGTAAATCACTATGATTAATGGTAACACAATTAATAACTAAATTGAGGAAAAACAGATCACAAACTAAACACAATTGAAACTAAATTAGTTTAGATGAACAATCAAAAAAATGATGAAGGTAAATTAATGAATTGTTGATAAAAATACTTAATCAAGGGTAAGAATTTAAATTTAATCTAATTGTAATCGAACCAGAAAATGAAGAGATAAAAAAGTTTACTATTAATATGAATTTCATATCAATATAATTTCGGACTCACGAAGCGATTGTTATTAATCAAGTCGGTAATCAGTCATAATCATGTCAAAATGATGATGATGAACAATAGATTAATAAATTGCGGATTAAATTGTGATCATTAACTCACCATAGCTTGTTTATTATATTCAGTTAGATTAGTTGAATAGCTCCATTCAGCTAGAACTCCCTTTCGACAATATTTAACGGCTTCGATTTCTTGAGTTCTAAGAAATTCTCGAGCAGCGATTTCATCAGTATTATTACCCGATTTGTATTTAACTGAACCATTATCACGAGATGGTGAAGATGAGGATGAAGATGATAAAGGTGATGAGGCTACAATTGTTGTTGATACTATTTCAATGGTGTTATTGAGAGCACGATTCCCTCCAGAGGAAGATGAAAGTTCAGGGTAACCTTGGATTCCATGGGAAATAATTAAACCATTGATTAAACACAAGGTAAACAAAGTTGTTAATGTTAACATGGTTAACGATTAAACTGTTATATACTTGATTGTTGATATTACAGGTGAGATTTGTTGTGGTTGTTGTTGATTGCTGATGATGATGATGGTGACACAAAGTAAAGTGAAACTGATTGGTGATAATCTGAAGGAAAAACTTGACTTTTACTTTTTTGCTAATTCTTATTTGTTCCTATGGCAGGTTCCTTGTCCTCTTCTCATCATCATCATAATCTTAATCTTATCATCATCTTAATCATCTTCACTTAATTTCTCTCTCTCTCTATTTCTTTGTAAATATCTTTGAGGGATAATTGTCAAAGGCCTGTGACCTGATCGGTAAAGGTGATTAACTAACAACGTTACCTTGTAATTATTTTTTAATTTCTTCCAATTTACTGATTATTGGGATGGAGCTTGTTGATGATGAGGAGGAGAAACTAGCAAATGATGATAACACTATGATGATGATTAGTTTTTATCCTCGGATGATGTTGATAAAATACACCAGGAACGATAATGTTGATGATTCTGATTAGAAGGGGAAATTGTATGTTTAGCTTTCGCTTTCAAATCAATTGGAATCCATATTGACAATTAAGTGAATTTCAAGCTCGTTACTCTTGATTTTCTGGTTGATTAACTGATTTTCTTGATTGTCAGTGTCTTAAAACAGTCAAATTTAGTGAGTTAATCTCATGATTATGTTTAAATTACGTAAATTTTTTCGGTAACAATTTAACATTTAATAATCGTAATCGATTTGTACTCTGGTGAAATGGTTACTTGGCAAATTCAATTCTAATTGTTTCAATGACTATTATCAATTGTCAAGGATATTGAAACAATTAAGAAATAATCATCTGACTGATAAGTTAATTGTTGGAAACTTAACAACATTAATATATTGTAATTTCAAATCATTAACAATCAAAGAAAACAATTTAACTTTGAATTATATTTTACAAGTTAATTGTTAGTTGTGACTCTTTTTTTTATTATAATTTAATTTGATTGAAATTAATTGTTTGTGTGCAATTTTAATCAATTTACCAATCAATGATTAGATTTACACACAATTTAAATTGCAACAATTAAGATTACAAATGACTTCACTATTAATACTAATTTTATATGTGATTATGAAAAAAAAACTCAACTTAATTTTGGGTTAATCACTTTTCTTGAGTCCAACAATTAAGCTTTTAATTGTTATTCACTTATATTAGTTTAAAATGTTCATGCTTATGGTTTTTGATTAGTACAATTTAACTAATCAGTTTTAATTATATTGTTAATTGATTTAAGCAAATGATCACGATTAACATTGAAATTCATGGAAACAAAAAAAAACTTTAATCATGATTTTTTTTCCTAAATTTTATTGACTATCAACTATTAATTGTTGAAACTTTTATGATAACAATTGAATAAATCAAGTAGTTAATTAACAGTGTATTAGTTATTAATTAAAAATACAGTTTACTCATGATTAACACATAATTAACAATCAAGCAAACAAAAGTTTAATCAAAAAAATTCAATATGAAACTTATATTTAAACTTTTACAATTAACTGATATTGAATTTTTATTGAAACTAATACAACAACAATTAAGCTTTAATTTAATAATAAGTGAACAATTTTTGGTCAACAATTAAGGTTTAATTGTTAAACTTTGTCCCTGGCAATCAATAAATTCCTGTGTAAGTTAAGTGTTACTTGCTACATATTTAATCAAAAGGTATTGAACAATTAAATTTAATTGTGATCAAAATGTACACGGAAATATAAGTGCACACCTTTGTAATTTGTTGATTGTTGATCAACAATTAAAACCAATTTTTTCACACGAAAATTGGTTAATTTATTATTATATTGATTATTAATCACAATTGATTTATCACAGTTAATTAGTTGTTACCATAAAATTTAATTGGTAACTAAATTGTTGACAATCAAATCGTTGATCGTCAATCATTATGTCAATACAATTAAATTATTCTGTTATCTTGATTACTCAAGTAATATATTTAACTTTCAGATTAATTAAATATGATTTAACATCATCACTATATTAGTTAATTGTTGTAATCAAATGTTAATTGTTGTTTTGTTGAAAAGTTGATCAGTTGATTGTGATTAAGTTATTATTCACCATCAATAAGATGAAAACAAGTAGCTTGTCAAGTTATAAACAATTCAAATTAACAATTAAGGGAGTCTAATAAATGAATCCTTAAATTGTTACAATTAGTTAATTGCAATCGTTTAATCATAAATCGTAAGTGTTTTCCTGATAATTTCTGTTGATATTATTTGAGGAAAAATTTTTCTGATCAAGTTGATTATTTGATTTAATTTCTCATGAGTCTAATCAACATTGATTAACTTAATTGTGGTGCATTAGCATCAACAATTTAAATTATTATATTTAAACTCACTGGTGTTGGTTGAACTTGAAGGTAAATTTTAGTTAACAATTTAAATTGATTGTTACAGTTTGATTTTTTTCTGATGTAACGGTAAATTATATCATCATGATTATTATTGTTAATAACTGAATTCATACTTAGTCAATATCAACAATATAATCATTGATTAAACATGGACTATTAACTAATCAACAGTTGATAATAATAATAAGAGTAACAATCTATCAACTATCTAGACAATTAACTAACTAAAATTTTGCAATTTTGTTATAAATTTGATTGTTATCAACAGTTGATTGTTGAATGAACTTCCGTCACTGTTAACAAATAGTTGATTAAACTGTTAACAATTTACTGATTAAAGGGTTACCATTGGTTAACAATTATCATTGAAAACCAGGAAAATTTGATTGTTATCAAAATAAAAAAGTAACAACAATCAAACTAAGTTTAACTTGTTCAACACAATTAACTAATCATGTAAATCAGATCTTTATCATCACCTTAATTATGATTTACACTTAAATGTCAAACTGAATCAAGATTAACTCATAGATAATAATAAACAAAAATTGATCACCAACTTTGATCCAGTTAACACAATTAACCAACAATTAACTACCAAACCTTAATATTAGATTATATTTTCAACTAGATTAACAAATATTACCTTGATTGTTACAATTTTTGATTAAATTAATCGTTGTGGTTGATTGTTGTTCATTCAAGTAAATCATTGATAGTCATTTACGGAAGTTAATTAAAACTAATTCACACAATTAACTTGTTTTTTCATGAAGATTTATGATTTTATTTCATTTTAATTGTTAACTTTTAATTGTAACCCAAAAAAATTAGTATATTAATATTGAACAACAATAGGATTATTAAATTAGGGAAACTAATCCAGTTTAATTAAAGGTTGGGTGTTAATCAGATTTACAATTAATTGTCAGATAAATACGAAAGTTAATCAACAAGAAATGTATCAAAGAATCACCAGTGATTAGTTACAATTAGTTAATTGTTTCCGCAGCAAAAAAGACCCAAAATTATTTGTAATTTAATTTACCGAAAACTTGTAAGTAATAACAACAATAACTAAGTAACTTGATTGTTATTTAAATACAACTAATTAAAAGTTCTTAATGAACTAATTATGTTAATCATTTGAAAGTCGACAATATGATTAGCTTAAAATTTGGGAGAAAAAGTTTTAATCAGTTAATCAGTTTGGAGGGAAAGAGTTACTATGATTATCCGTCAATGAATTAAGTTAATCATGGTGATGATAGTAATGGATTATAAGTCACAATTCATCATCAATCTGATCATCATCATCGCTAAGATTAAATTAACCACGATTAAGCTATTAACGATTAACAGTTAATTTGGTTTAGCGAAAAGGTAACAATCTAAACATAGACTCGAACTGAATTAAAAGACAGATTGGAATGGAAATTTTTTCTTCTTTTTTTGATTCATCTTCGACTCATCATCTTTTCTGAAAGCTCATCTTCCTCATCATCTTCCATTCATTCATCATCCTTGGAATGATGATGAAGATGATGATGGAATTAAAAATAATCGTGATAATCGTGAATCTTAATCATGATCAGATTCCAATGAAACTTTCTTATTCTAAAGATTCTGATTAATCATTTGGTGTTTTCTTTTTTTCAACTCTAATCATGATTCTAATTGTGATCATGTTAATCAACAATTAACAGGAACGTTAATCAAGGTCCATCAACACGTTGGTTTAATATTTTTTTTTTCTTCTTCTTTTAACTAATCATTGTAAATGATTTACTAATCATCATCATGATTAAGGATTGGTTAATGTTTAGTTTTCACTTTTATTTTTGTTGCTAATTGTGATCCAAGTTGATCAATCAACAATTAGCTTAATTAACCAAGACATATTTTCATTGTGAGTGTCTATTAATAGTAAGTATTATTGCTAACAATTTAATCGGGTTTGGTTAATCATTCATCTTAATTGTTGATTAACTGATTGATCGGACCAAAAACATGTACATATATATTTATTGATATTGATCCCAATTAAGATATTGATTTAAATTGTTTCCTAATTGTTGATCGCTATGATCATACGTTAATCAAGAAAAATTTGAAAAAGATTAAGATTAGATTGTAATTAACTCATAAACTTAATTGCCAAACCTTTTTGATTATGATTTGAAAGTAAATCCTTATTTATATTTAAATATATAAATTGTTAACTTGATAATAATTTAGCCCAATTAATTGTTGGACAAATTATCATTTTATTCAGTTGTAAGGGATGTACAGTCATTGACTGTTTTCGACCCCTCTCTTTATTTATCTCATTTAAAATTCATTGGTTAATCATTTTAAATTTCGCTCTCAACTGCCATTTAGAAAAGAATATAAACAAAATTCTATTCTCTTAACCTCAGTCAGTTAGTTCTTACTTACTTACTCACCCACAAGTCTTACTTGTCACTTGCCCTTTCTATTATTTACTCATTTCCTTACGATTACAATTACCTTTAGTTCCTTAATTACTGTTATAATTATCACCTCAGTTCTATTCTCATTCTGTGCTCAATTACCTTTGTGTTATTAAATTTACATTTGAATTAATAAGTTTTACGTTCTGCCCTCCTTTATGTAATCAGTTAACCTTAAAAGTCTTTGACTTTATTCTGGTGTGAGATACTTGATCTATTAAAGATCTTGGTTTGAGTTAGCCTTGGCCCCGAAATTAACTCTGGGTATTCTTAACGAAACACCTAACAAATGGTGGAGATGCCGAGTATCTCATAAAAAACGTAAAATTTTTTTTTTTTCTGTTCAAATTGTTCTCTGCAAAAGCTAAAATTTCCTTCCTCCTATAAAGTCCTTTGACTTTAAGTGCTGTGTTTCCAGTGTTACAAAAAAAAAGCCAAATAAACTTAACCTAGTGAATCAAATCATCACATCATTCATAAAGGTCACCTTGAAAGTCCTTGACTTTACCAAGTAACCATCATCTCTACTCTTCAAATAAACTATTAATTCATCAACCTCTTCATCATACTACTCTATCGAAGACGAAAACATGCCGATAGATCCAAGAAGACCAATAGAAATCACCATTGGTGAATTCACTAAAGAAGAAGAAAACAAAATTCGTTTCATCAAGGAAGTTGGAGTCATCAATATACCGAAGGACGCTTACTTGACA